GTCCTGGCAGAACATCTGGACACCCACCCCAAAAAGTGCGCGCTTTCTGGGGTGGGTGTAGACAGGCACCCAGGAACATCCACAATTTTAAAACGTGGCTGGTTTGGGCAGAAATTATATCATTCATATATATGGAAAACAAGCTTGCTCCCTTTTCCCTATGACATCCCCTCACATATTTCTCAGCCTTCCCTTCTGCAGGCTAAACACGCCCAGCTCTTTAAGCCGCTCCTCATAGGGCTTGTTCTCCAGACCCTTGATCATTTTTAGTCACCCTCCTCTGGACACATTCCAGCTTGTCAACATCTCCCTTCAATTGTGGTGCCCAGAATTGGACACAGTATTCAAGATGTGGTCTAACTCCAAGTCTACAGTGTAGAGTTGCCCCTAGTTAGTAGATGGCAATCCACTAACAGTCTTGATCAGCTGTGATCCACATCAGCAGCAGTGTTTTCAAAAAATGAATGCCCAGACACATGAAATAATAGAATAAGAACTGGACAAAACTTATAGTTCAAAGGGGGAAAAGACAAGCCCCTCCAGCCCTGTAGATGCTGTTCTTGAAACACGAATATATCTGTGAAATTGCTCTCTCGCTTGACAATAGCATCAATTTTCATGGCACCAGAGCAAACCTGAGATATATAAATGGAGTTTTCTGTCAAATTAAACACTTTTTGCTCTAGCGTTTAATAAAGAACAAGATTGGTTTATTGCTCTGCATATGCCTCCGCTATGGGCATTATTTCTTAAATAATCAAGTGTGTGCGGGACGGGACACACCATCCACATAGATTAAATTTAACCATGCCTTAGGACTAAAATATGATATTGATTTTTTTTTCCCTGTAAAGAGAGAAGAAGCCAATGCACTTGCTGTACAAAGCTAGGCTACAATCACTTGGTTGAAAAGCATATAGGATTTTGTTCAAGCTGTGAAGAATTTATGCCTTTGAGGGATGAATTAATTTTGGCCAGAGGTTGTTAAAAGAAGGAAAGGAAGTGGAAAAAGAAAGGAAAGAAATAGAAGATTAGTACGAAGCCTTCGAAGCATCTGCAGAAACTTATATTAAAAGAAAATGATAAAATTGGACCAACATACTTTGTGAGAATATACAAAAAGTAATCTGCAGCTTTTTTTGGAGGGGGTGCATTGCTTCATATATATTTATATCTGTGTGCGTGTGAGTTGCACACACAAACATACACACACAATATATATCAAACTTTCCGTTAAATCAGAACTTAAGCAACTGCAACTCTCAAACAACCGGACAAAAATGGAAGAAATACAGTAATACTGCTGTAAAGGCTTCCTCTTCATTGTCTGATACTCTATTCAATCTAGTATGCTGCCACCATCTGTGAGGTGCTAGGCGATGCTGCCACCAATTAATAAGGGTTTCCTATTCAGTTTATTAATGGATTCCCCTATTTTCAAATAGATTCACTGCTACCACTCTGTACTGTTTCTTTTGGTGTGTAGTGAGCCCCCCCCCCTTGAAATAGTACACTGAGACTTGAGTTACTAAAACAAGAACAAGTTTATTTAGAGTATGGAAAGGTCTTAAAGGTTTCAGAGTTCTCTTCTCCTGAGGTATAAAGCTTCACGAGTTACAGTTTCAACAAATCTTAATATAACTTTAGGATGTCTTTTTTGTGCCGTTACACCCAGACGCTTTATAAAAAACAAACTATGATGTGCTGTCCCTATATCTGGGCAAACTGCTGGGGCTTTCTGGAGAAAATTGAGATAATCAGCAATTGAGTCTATTGCAAGTTCTGAACGTCAAAAAATAATATTTATTTCGAAGTCTTGCAGACTTGGTACAGTTCTTTCAAAGTTGCAATCAAACAGTCAATAGATAAAATCAAACAGATATTCCTTTTCCACCACTTGCTGAGTCAGCCTTCTCCAAGAGGCAAAGGGTCCAGGAATTCCTCACCCTAATCCAGAGCCCTTATCTATAGAAAGAACCAATCTTTCCCTAACTATCTAGGCTCCAGACTAGCCTTGGAGAAAAGCAATGCAGCCTATCTCCCTATAAACTCTATAAAACTCAATTCTATTCTATCTATGACTCAGTTCTATTCTATCTATGACTCAATTTAACTTCTCTCAATTCTTAACTATGATATCTCAACTATACTTATCTCAATTCTCAATTGTTCTCAATTAGGCTTACCTAACTATAACTCAATTGTTTTTTGCGGTGGTTTTTTCAGAGCTACCTTTTCTTGGCCTCCAGCACATCCAATTGCTTCTTTAGACCTGAATAGGGCAGGGAGATTCTAAAATGGAAACTCTCCCCAGGAGCAAGGGTGGGCTCTAAGAGCTGCTTCCTGGGCCAATCACTGCAAAGAGTTTGCAGACTGGCTTTTTTCCCGCCTTTGGCTGCAAACTTCAGGCCCTCCAAGGCTGCAGCAGCTTTCAAGAGAAAGGCAAGGGGCAGCCAATTTAAGCAACCAAAAAAGCAATATAAACCAGTCTCCTGGGAGACGGAACACTTTTACTTCACCAACTAGTTCTTTAGTTGTTACACTTCTAAATATGTTTCCTTATTTAACTAAGGTCAGCTAATGCCCTTGTCTCCCTTCAGCTTCCTGCTGAAGTAAAGATTCCCAGTGGGATTTCTTCTCCTATTAGCACACAGCTAAACCACAAACCTAAATAAGTCCCCTTGATTTAATTAAATCACTCAGGCTAAAAACCTTCCCTTTGATTCCCAGTGGGATTTCTTCTCCTATTAGCATACAGCTAAACCACAAACCTAAATAAGTCCCCTTGACTTAATTAAATCACTGAGGCTAAAAACTTTGCCTTAGTTTGGTTCACCACACATTTGAACCACCTTCCCTTTAGCTCGATGACCAAAGGACTGAAGCCTCAAAATGTCTGCCTCTGGTAAGTGCAGTTGGCTCCACCCCTTTCTCCATGGCAACCTAACTCAGAGTGCTGAGCTTGGTCCCATCCCCCTAGTTCTGCCATTTCTAAATGGTTAACCCTTTATGTACACCCATAACTGTCTTTTACCTCCTGAACACATACATATAATAATATTCAACCGTCTAAGCCAGGGGTCCCCAAACGACGGCCCGCGGGCCACTTCCATCCCGCCAAGGGCACTTATCCAGAGGAGGAGTGCCCCCCCCACACACACAGTGCCCCTCCCTTGGCTGGCTCACGCTATCTGTCAGGCCCGATGGGCAGCGTGAACCAGCCAAGGGCAGCTGCTCCACGCAGCCTACTCGCCGTAAAGCACCTCGTGAGGTGCTTTACGCACAAGTAGGCCACGAGTGCTGCTCCTCCCTTGGCAGGCTCACGCTGCCCATCGGTGAGGCTGCCCCAGCGCTCCATGCAGTCATGCCGGCCACATGACCTTGGAGGTGTCTACGGACAACGCCGGCTCTTCGACTTAGAAATGCAGATGAGCACCACACCCCAGAGTCAGACACGACTGGACTTCATGTCAGAGGAAAACCTTAACTAGGAAAATTGTGGAAGATCCAGGGTGGGAGAAAGAACTCTTGTCTGTTGGAGGTAGGTATGAATGTTTCAATTGGCCACCTTGATTACCATTTCATAGCCGGACAGTTTTTAGGGAGCGGTGATTAGCTGGCCCTGATTGTTTCTTGTCTGGAGTTCCCCTGTGTTTGAGTGTTGTTCTTTATTTACAGTTATAATTTTAGAGTTTTAAATACTGGTAGCCAGATTTTGTTCAGACTAGAAATAGGAAGATTTCCCATTCTCTGCTCCTGGAATTACTGCCTAAAAAGGGCTAGAAAGAACCCCCTCTAAGGGCCCTTCCACACAGCAAAATAAGATATGTGCAATGTGCATAGGATTTTTTTATTGATTTTTTTTAAAAACTATAGTCTGGCCCTCCAATGGTCTGAGGGACAGTGAACTGGCCCCCGGTTTAAAAAGTTTGAGGACCCCTGATCTAAGCATATATATATATATATATATATATATATATATATATAATATTTAACTGTAGAGATACACATACATAACTACGCTTAACTTACAGTGAAAAATCAATGTGCATTCACAAATCTGTTTTTATAATACAGTAAACCTTTGTTACATTTAGGCTTCTTCTGCACTGCCATATCATAACTAGATTATCCATTTTGAACTGGATTATATGGTAGTGTAGACTCATATAAACCAGTTCAAAGCAGATAATGTGGACTAACCAATGGACTGAGGTGGTCAACAGTAACAGAGTTAGGAAACCAAAGGGCTAGGCCATTATTAGGCCTCTATACTTAGGTATGGGCCAACTTGGACCCTTCAGGTGTTTTGGACTCCAACTCCCACAATTCCACAATTAGCCATGTATAAATATGTGAGAGGAAGCCACAGGGAGGAGGAAGCAAGCTTGTTTTCTGCTTCCTTGCAGACTAGGACGCGGAACAATGGCTTCAAACTGCAAGAGAGGAGATTCCATCTGAACATGAGGAAGAACTTCCTGACTGTGAGAGCTGTTCAGCAGTGGAACTCTCTGCCCCGGAGTGTGGTGGAGGCTCCTTCTTTGGAAGCTTTTAAACAGAGGCTGGATGGCCATCTGTCAGGGGTGATTTGAATGCAATATCCCTGCTTCTTGGCAGAATGGGGTTGGACTGGATGGCCCATGAGGTCTCTTCCAACTCTTTGATTCTATGAATTCCTAACATAATTGTGGGAGTTGGAGTCCAAAACACCTGAAAGGCCCAAGTTGGCCTATGCCTGATCTAAATGCATGCCAAAAAGGAGGGGGAAAGTAAAATTGGGGAAAAACCCTGGTCTCAAACTGAGAAACTCCCAAACTCTGGATCTCCAGGTGTTTTCCTTTTCTTTGGACTTCAAATCCCAGAATTCCTGGGCGTTGATCAACGCAGCTGAGGCTTCTGGGAAGTGAAGTCCATAATCGAATAGAGTCGAGACCGGTCTCGGTCTCCTCCAGATGCGCATGCGTAGTCGGTTTCCGTGCTTACTGCGCATGCGTGCCGCCTTCCTCCTCAGTCGTCGCCAACATGGCCGCCGCGGCTGCTTCCTCGTCGGCCTCTGGCGCCTCTTCTTCCTCCTCCTCCGGCCCGGGAGGCTCGAGCTCATCCGGGCCCGGGGGAAGCGGAGGGTCTGCCTCCTCAGGCCTCACGGCCTCGCTGACAGGGACCATGAACAGGAAGAAGAAGCCTTTCCTGGGCATGCCTGCGCCGCTGGGCTACGTGCCAGGCCTAGGCCGCGGGTGAGCCGGGGGCTCGAGTTGGGAGTTGGGCGGCCAACGAGGCCTCGGTTTCCCTTCCATTCTGTCTCTCTCTTTGGACTGTGGAATGAATGCACTTTTGACACTACTTTGACTTGAATTCTATGACACAAATGTTGTTTCACAAGGTCTTTAGCCTTCTCTGCCAAAAAGTACCGAACTGCAACTCCCAGGATTCCATAGTAGTTCAGGTTGTGTCGAACTGCATTAATTCTACAGTGCAGGTGCAACCCAAGCGATTCCTGCTTCAGTAGAAAATGGCGCTTTTCTCCCCTTCCTCCTGAAATACTAATAACAATAAACTTTATATTTATTTAATTATTTATTTACTTTGCTTGTATACCGCAGTTTCTCAGCCCGTAGGCGACTCAACGCGGTTCACAACAAGAGCAAAAAAGTCAATCGTACAACATACAATATTTAAAACCATTAACAGCCTAGTATACAAATAATGACACATCAATAACAACACATTAGCATCTCGTAACTAAAATCGTGATCCAATTCGTCATCCATAATTCCGTTTCCTATATTCATCGTGTTCATTGCACTATTTATCCAAACGCCTGTTCAAACAGCCAGGCTTCGTGTATTCCAAGTAGACTGGAACGTACTTAGTCCTAATCTTTTTTTATACTGGTTTTAAACCACTTCATTGGATGTGTTGCAATAGCAGATTCCCAGATTAGTTTAGTGTTTACACCTTATTTTATTTTTCTGGTTATTTAATATTTAATGTTTATTTTACTTAAGTGATATTTGTCTTACTGTTCTAATGTAGCACAAATCCTATGTAAAATCATACTACGTATTTTTGACATTAATATTGAAATCTGAAATATATACAGAAAGTCTTTACTATTATTATTTCCGAATTCAGACAGAGGCCACCACAGAAAAGGCCCTGTCTCGTCCCCGCCAGCCGCACCTGTGAAGCAGGCGGGATAGAGAGCAGGGCCTCCCCAGAAGATCTTAGAGTCCTGGTGGGTTCATAGGCAGAGGTACATTTGGATAGGTAACTTGGGCCAGAACCGTTTAGGGCTTTATAGGCCAACGCCAGCACTTTGAATTGAGCCCGGTAGCAAATCGGCAGCCAGTGGAGCTGGTGCAGCAAGGGAGTTGTATGCTCCTGCGCTCCGCTCCTGTTAGTATCATGGTATTATATTATATCCTTTCCTATTTATTTATTTACTGTATTTTTACATTATTTTAAGCAGGGGGCTGTTTTGATATTTTTAGGGAGGGAGTTCTAGAGGCGGGAGGCAACCACAGAGAAGGAATAGTATGAAAGCTGGGTCCGGAATATTTATTTATTTATTTACTTTACTTGTATACCGCAGTTTCTCAGCCTAACAGCGACTCAACGCGGTTTACAACAAAGGTACAACAATCAACAATATACAAATTAAAACCACAGAAACATAATACACAATATTGACACAGCAATAACAACCCAATGCATCTCATAACTAAAATCATGATCCAGTTTCGTCGTCCTTATTACCATTCCTGTAATCATCACGTTCATTGCACCGATTAACCAAATGCCTGTTCGAACATCCAGGTTTTTAATCTTCTTCTGAACACCATCAGCGAGGGGGCTGATCTTACCTCCATGGGAAGGGCGTTCCATAGCCGAGGGGCCACCACAGAAAAGGCCCTGTCCCTCGGATAATAATAATAATAATAATAATAATAATAATAATATACCCTGCTCCATCTCCCCCAGGGGGGCTCGCGGCAGCTTACATGAGGCCACGCCCATCAATACAGTAAACACAATATTACACAAAAGCATAACCCAATATAACACAAGGCATAACAGAACAAAAGAAAACATAAAATGCAAAACCTAAATAATAAGCGAGACAGCAGTATAAAATCGGACAGTAAACACACAGAAATTGCACGGGGCAAGGCCAAATTTAAGGATAAAAATTTAAAATTTTAAAACACTGGGAGATTGGGCAATGGAAATTATTGGGGAGGGAGATCCAGATTGAGGAAGGAATTAATTTCACGAACCATAAAGTCCTTCTAAAGTCATTTGTACGAAATTTGGTCAGGGGGTATCTTACATTCAGTCATTGAAGGCACATTGGAATAACCAGGTTTTCAGATTCCTCCTGAAGATTGCCAGCGTGGCATTAGGGGGCTTGCCTAATGTCTCTTGGGAGTGAATTCCAGAGCCGGGGGGCCATCACAGAGAAGGCCCTTTCTCTCGGCTCCACAAGTCGCACTTGCGATGCAGGCGGGAGTGAGAGCAGAACCTCTCTGGACGATCGAGCTTTACGCTCTTTCCACTTCGCTCCTTCAGGAGTGCTGTTTGCGCAACGCAGAACAGAACACAGATATTGTAGAAGGAATGTAACAATTCTTTAATGGCAAAACCTTAACCCAGAGGGTGGATGGTCATCTGTTAAGGGGTACTTTGTGCTTTTCCTGCATGGCAGGAAGTTGGACTTTATGCCCCATGTGATCTTGTGCAACTCTATGATTCTATCATTCTAGGTGTTTTGGACTTGAGTTTTTCTGTTGTGTGTTAATACAAGTTTTTCACCCCAAGATGGTGCTAGTAGAGCAGAAGACTTTTACTTTTGCCTTTGTGGTCTCTTCTGCTCCCACCCTGGGTCCAAACACTTTGATATGTATGAAACAGGGAGTCCTTTGGCATCTTCAAAACTAATAGATGAAATTCTGAGTAATACTACTTTAATGCAGGGGTCCTCATTTTTTAAGCCAAGGGCTGGTTTACAGTTGTTTTGGACTTAGGGCGACCCTAAGTCTAAAGTTGAGGAGAGTTGGGGAGAGACCTCACTTTAGCACTTCCACATCCTTTAAGTATTATCCATAATTTCATCTCTAAATGCAGTGCACTAGGAAAAGAATAAAAGTACATTACAAATGGATCGATTTGGTTGGAGATGCCAAGATCTGCAGTAGGCAAGCACCGAGCTGTTATTTCTAGGGTGCCATAGATTGAAGTCGACTTGATGACAAACGACAACAGTAAATGCAGTGTTCAAAGTGATAAATCTCACTATCTTGTGTTCTGGGTAGATAATGAAAGTTCAAGGTAATACTTCTTTGTGCCAGATTAATTGATCTATAATTGATAAAATTTCCAGATACAGTGAATTTATCTTTGAAAGTGTTACAGGGCCCTTTGTTGTTTCTTGCAATAGATGGACAGGACTACCACTTTGGAAACTGTAACTGTTAATTTGCTATTCACAGTAGTGAGCTGTAAAAGCATCAGAGGACTCATTATACATATAGGTATTTCAGCTCTAAAACTGAAACATAGATCTCTGAGGCTAAATGATTGATTGTTCCAGTTATGGAGAATTTTGTAGCATCAAATTCCCATCAGGAATAGAAGAATGAATGCCAGTCTGATTTTTTTCCTCTTTTCTTGCCTCATAAATAATAGTTGAAACCATGGTATAGTGACTTAGACTACTACAGATCACTACTCTGGCATGGAAAGTTCTATAGCAATGGACTGAAGATTCTGACCAATGTGTGAAAAATAACTGTGTTGTATTCAGGAATGCTTTGATTGTGTAATCCTGTATGGCAGGCGGTGGGACCAGATGGCTTTTTAAATGTAGTAATGGAACCTATAATCTGCTTTAAAGAACATTTTCTGACAACTTCAATAGCACTACAACACTATTCATCTGAACAAATTAGTGGTATAGATCTATAGAATCTCTGTTTATGTTAGAGGGCCTAGAGATTTTTAGAGATGTGCAAAAATTGTTTTTATATTTGGGGCTTTCCCACTTTGACAGAGACCCTGCATCCCTAACTTCTCTGAAAGTGGAGGTCTCACAGTATTTAGAACCATAGACGTTAGTAGTGGGATCACACAAGTGGAAAGATCATCAAGCGTTATCAGAAATGCACAACTAAAACACTTTCAAAATGCCCATCCAACCTCTGTTTAAAGGCCTTTAAAGAGAGTCCACTTGTTCTTCCTTATTTTTTTCTTCATTTGAATCAATTGGTTTGTGTTGTAGTTTACTCCATCTTCTACTCGACATGTCTCAGCTATTTAAGGATGGCAATCATAGCACTTGTTAGTCTTCTCTTTCAGTCCCAACATAGCCAAACTCTGTGAGAATAGACCGTCATGGAATTAAGTCCACAAAGGTCACTGTCCTACACACAAAAATATTAACTGGCTTGACCAGGCATTTCTGCCACATATTGTTTGAGAAAGAAAAGTTCCATACATTTAAATTTATTTATTATTTCCAACATTTCTACCCCGTCCTTCTCAACCCCCGAGGGGGGACTCGGCACCTTACAACCAGCAACAATTTGATGCCGCAACATAAAGACAAACAATTTCAAACATAGATAAAACATTAAATTAAAGCAAATTAAAACATTATTGCCAAACCATATAGCCATTTCCAGTCCAACTCAACATCCAAAGTGCCGTTATGCCTGCTGTCCAAAAGCCTGATCCCAAAACCATGATTTAAGTTTCTTTCTAAAAGAAAGGAGGGATGAAGCCAACCTAAACTTGCTGGGTAGCGAGTTCCACAGGCAGGGGGCCACTACCAAGAAGGCCCTGTCCTTCATCCCTACCAAACACATTTGCGAAGCTGGCGGGACTGAAAGCAGGGCCTCCCTGGATGATCTTAAACTACGAGGCGTGACGTAGAGAGAGAAACATTCAGATGCAAGTGTATTGTCAAGTCTGGGAGTGAGATGGACTTTTTGATGGGTTTGTAATTAGCAGTGTATCAGATTTCTTTCTCATATTTAGTTGTGTTCTCTCCCCACTCACTCTCTGTCTCTCTCTAGTGCTACGGGTTTTACTACCCGCTCAGATATTGGTCCTGCTCGAGATGCAAATGACCCTGTGGACGATCGTCATGCTCCACCCGGGAAGAGAACTGTTGGGGATCAGATGAAGAAAAATCAGGCAGCAGATGATGATGATGAAGATCTCAATGATACCAATTATGATGAGGTGATTCCTTGCAGCATAGATTTGTGCTGAGGACTTAATTATGTGAGCTTGCAGTAAATTGGGGGCATAGGTCTATTCTAATTAGACATGTTTTTCTCAAAGTTATTGATAGAGGTCTTTTGTAGCTCTTCCTGATCTTTCTTCAATTTACTAGAGATGAAATGGATTGAACTCTGGGTTTTTGCTTAGAAAATATGTGCTGTGCACTGAGACCCTTTGAAAAAGTGTTTTAATCAAATAATAATTGCTTATTTTCCAGTTCTGGAATTTAGGGTAACTTATAAAATATGCAAATGAAAGTTCATTAAAAACACAGAGTAAGGTTTATGCAATGAGGCTATCAATAGAAGTGAAAGGAGTGTAAAAGCAAAGGCCTGGCTTTTTCTTGATTTTTGTGATGTATGCTATGCGGAGAATGGATTCTCTCAATTAATGCCACCATATTATTCACAGTTTAATGGATATGCTGGGAGTCTGTTCTCAAGTGGGCCTTATGAAAAAGATGATGAGGAAGCTGATGCGATTTATGCTGCTTTGGATAAAAGAATGGATGAAAGGCGAAAAGAGAGAAGGTAAGGGTGTATTTTTTCATTGCTGAGAGACAGTGTAATAGTGGCTAATGCATCTGAGGTCTTTGTATGATTTATTCATTTATTTGCTTATTTTAGAATGCACTTCACACCCTTCTGGTGTTTGCATACCTCTTAGGGAAGTATTAAAAATTTAGCTACTGCTTCCTTGGGTTAGATGCTTGGTCTGATCTTGGATGCTTAGAGTAATAGAATCACTGGCTGTTCATGTTTGAATAAATAGGTTTAGATCCTACAGATACTGATATCTGCACCTTCTGTTTTCTAGAGAACAACGTGAGAAGGAGGAGATCGAAAAGTACAGAATGGAGCGACCCAAAATTCAGCAGCAATTCTCAGATCTGAAAGTAAGGAGTAAACAATCTCTTTTTCTTTAGGAGTGAAACCATAACATTATGAGGAGGGGGGACAGCAAGTTTTTTTGGGGGGGAGGGACACTAATAGGCATTGAGTATATAGAATGGAATAGAATAGTTTTATTGTCATTGTACTATTGCACAACAAAATTAAATGCCTTCCCCAGGATGCACCACAAAACAACACACCCATCCCTCCACACCCCAACCACTACGGTGTAGTCCCAGATGCCACATCAATATTGTCTTATATATATTGAATCTATGTGACCTAGTGAATAATATGGCACTTCAGCTTGACCTTGGTTCAATTTTTGCCTTTGTTTTGGGCGTAGGCAGATGTAGAAAAGAATATTATGGCAAATTTGTTATAAAGTATCTGCAATTGAGGGAGTGAATTGGCATTGTTGCACAGCAGCTATTTGTGCTAACAACACTTGCATAAAGTGTATAAAGGACTCATATTGCTGTGTTATTGCCAGTTCCATAATTTTGCAACTGTCACCTTGATTGCTGTCCTGCTCTTGGCTGAGCCAGTATGGTGTGATGGGGAAATGACTGAAATAGAGAAGGGTTTATCTCTTCTGCCAAGGGACAGAAATTAAATGGGTTGAAAACCAGGGGCAAGAGAATTCAGAGGTCAGAGGAAAAGAAGACTGGAAAAGCCATTGAACTGAAGTGGAGGGGGTGTTATATACAGTCTCATCTAAATTAAAAAGACCGGGAGTCCTTCACAGGAAACAGACAGCTGAAGGGGATTCTGTAGGCAAGACTGAAGTTGTGCAGAGAACCAATATGGTGATGAAAGAGGTGTGTGAATGAGCTAAATTCAGCATTAAAAAATACATGTATGGTTTGTCCTTCACAGAGAAAACTGGCTGAAGTTACTGAGGAGGAGTGGCTGAGTATTCCTGAAGTTGGTGATGCTAGGAACAAACGCCAAAGGAATCCACGTTATGAGAAACTGACTCCTGTTCCAGACAGCTTCTTTGCAAAGCACTTGCAGTCAGGGGAGAACCATACATCTGTGGATCCTCGCCAGACGGTGAGATAAAAATATGTGTACCTGTAGATCGGTCAAAGACAGTACTCCCGAGAGAGTAACTTGTATTATCTCAAACAAACATCCGGTGTTAAAATGTACAGAAAAAAAGTGGCTAGCACAAGCCACAGACTTATTGTTCCTTTCATATAGAGTGGGAGAACAAAATAATAATTTAAGCGCAGCTTGAGGTCTTTGATGTGATTGCAAGGCTTATGAGGAGATTTTCTTTGGACTATTGTTTCAGATTTCAGAAAGGGGGATTGACAATTGAATTTTCTAAATGAAAAATGTCTCACGTGTGGCCCTATAGAATAACTACGACTATACTAATATTCTTCGTAGTTGTTAGGATCTCTGTAATTCTTTTATATTTAGAAAGACTTTTGGCTCAGAAGAGGGAAGAGCACTTATTGTACTATTTTTGTTGGGTTTGTCTAATGAATTGATTGTGGAAAGATTAGACCAAATGTTTCAGAACAAACTACCCAGAAGCATTATTTGCATTTGCTTATGAGGTGGAAATTGTAGGTATTAAGAAGAATTACCTAGGTTATGTAGAACTAGTGCTGTTGGCTTCTGGTTGGCTCCCATCTAGCATATGTATTATGAGTTGGACGGAAGGATATTTCCCCTGCTTCTCTTTCATACGTTCATCATGGCCAAGAAGATAGTCCAGAGGCTAAAGTGGTTGGAAAGATTTACTTCCATAGATGGATCTGGAAGAGATGTTGAACTTCGTATCATGGCACAGTCTGTGAAATAGTTCATTGGTATTGATCTCACTGGAAATGTGTGTTAATCATAATACTGATTTCCCTGTCTAATAGGGCATTTCATAAGCCAAGGAAGACTTATTATATAATCAATCAAATTGTCTTTATACAACTGATTTCTTTTCGTCACAACATTATTTATCTGTAGTGCAGCAAATTCATTACTGTAAAAGCCATTTACCAGCATTCGGCTACTTTCTAGCAAGCATGGCCAAGAGCCTTGTAGAGAGATCAAAACTTTCCCTTCACTCCCTTCACTCCATTGCCTCACTGTATTGGAGATCCTGCAGTATTCAACTTTTTCTGTTCCCTGTCTTTCATGGTGATAGATATTTTGCASTTGTCATCATATAAAACTGATTGCTCAAATGAGAGTTAGATATCTGGTCTATGTCACTGACAACTGTAAATTATCCCCCCCCCCCCCCCCCAAACTTTCTCCTCCTGCAGCAATTTGGTGGTCTGAATACACCCTATCCTGGGGGCTTAAACACTCCTTATCCAGGTGGAATGACTCCAGGATTGATGACCCCTGGAACAGGTGAACTGGACATGAGGAAGATTGGACAAGCTAGGAACACCTTGATGGACATGCGACTTAGCCAGGTAAGGACTATAGGAAAAACAAAAAATTCTGATCATTCCTTTTCCTGCTGAATGGATCTGGCAAGCATTACTGTTTGTTGAAGTGTTCTCTTAGTACATACTTACACTTTCAGGAGATAGGGAGTCAGTTACAAGCTAGATTTTTTAGGGTTTTTATAGGAAAATGTTAGTAATGTTGAACTTTTTCAATCCGTCTGATTTTTGTTGCATGTTTATGGCTTCAGTGTGGCACTTTAGTAAATGTCAACTATGTTGGATCAACTCCCTAGGTGTCTGACTCTGTGAGCGGCCAAACAGTGGTGGATCCCAAGGGTTACCTCACTGACTTGAACTCGATGATTCCCACACATGGTGGAGATATCAAGTAAGGTGATGGGTACAGGGTATTGGCACTGATTTGTTAGTGAAATTTGTCCATGTAAAGGGATATGTTAGGACTTTCATGGAATAGGACATGGTGCAGGGCCCATGCTTTGCTTGTGAAATAGAAAGAAATAGAAATTGTTGCAACAAAAAGGCATGACTAAGATGTCAAGCCTATTTCCCCCTTCTGGATGCAGAAAGCCACCCTAGAACTGTTTTTGTCAATGAGTTATGCATCTTACTAGTTCTTTTTGGGGCAAGGTGACATGTGACAATATATCCAAAAAATGAGATGTAAGCATTTTGCCTGGCTATAGAATGGGACATTAAGTTGTCAGTGACCAGTTTGTTTGCCTAAAAAGGCATAATTGATAATTAGGCAAATTATGTGTATTCCTGTAAAATAGCTTAGCTAGTAAATGTGCATGGTATTTACAGATAGAAAGTTATCACCTGTACATTTTGTGCTCTGCTAGTGACATCAAAAAAGCACGTTTACTTCTGAAGTCGGTACGAGAGACTAATCCTCACCACCCACCAGCCTGGATTGCTTCTGCACGCTTGGAAGAAGTGACTGGCAAGCTGCAGGTTGCTCGAAATCTCATCATGAAAGGGACAGAAATGTGCCCCAAGGTAAGATTTGTATTTCTTTTGCCTCCATTTTAAGCAGGCATGTGGAACCTTTGCCCTGATGGATGCTGAACTTCTACTCTCATCATGCTTCACTATTGGCTCGCTGGTTAGATGTGATAGAAACTGGCATTCAGTAACTTCAGAAAGGCCAGAGGTCCACAGCTCTGCTTTTCAATATCTGCATTCGTGCTCTGACTAATTCTCTCGAGCTTTAGAGGAACCCTTCTGCCATCCTTCTACATTGCTTTTTTATTATAGCCATAGCACTATTTCTTTGAGAAGACCTTGTGTCTGCTCCTGTATTCTTAAAGGTAAAAATAACAACCAGAAAAATGACCACCGTGATGCCATCTCTTAGATGCTTTTCTTCTTTCCCCTTCTTTGCAGAAATTCCAGAATTGACAGAACAACAATAGAGTAGGCTGTGAACTGGAAACCTCCTCCTGCTCTATAGGCATTCTTACTCATTTTATGTATTGCTCAGTGGAAACATAGATCCTTGTTTTGCTTTCATCTATACTGTTAGTTATCTAGGAGGATTTTCAAATAAAGGAATACTAAAGGGGGTGAGAGCTGTTTTTCATCCAGGGATAAAAATAGTGTTGAGGAACATGGAAGGTTGCTAAATGTTTCACAACGTGTGGGAAAGTAGACAGTAGTTCTATTAAAAAATAATTATGGAACTTGGGGGAACTCACTCAAATTCATTAATATAGATTCATTACAAAAAGCAGAAATATGTTGTCACATAATGTGGTTTTTTCCATTGGGTTTTCTCCTGAAGCAACATTCTTGTTACTTGAAATGTTTTCTTCTTTTCCTCCAGTGGCATTTGATCTCTTCTTCCACTGTACTTACCTTAGCATCCATTTGCATGATCTTTATCCTGTACAGCATACACCTACTCTTCCGGTGTCACTCTTGAGTTCTTCCCAAAACACTCACTGTATTAAGAGCAAACTACTGATTTGTGTTTCTTCTTGTTTCCCCAGAGTGAAGATGTGTGGCTTGAAGCTGCCCGTTTGCAACCTGGAGATACTGCCAAGGCTGTGGTGGCCCAGGCTGTTCGCCACCTTCCACAGTCAGTGCGAATTTATATCAGGGCAGCAGAATTGGAGACTGATATTCGAGCAAAGAAGCGTGTCCTTCGAAAAGGTTAGAGAGTTCCTCTGGCAGGAACTGCCTTTAACAATAGTGTAGAAAATTCAATTACCAGTAATTTAGAATATAGCTTCCAGGCTGTTAACTGAAACCAATCAGATGGATTCTTGTGCTGTAGCTGAACTGGTAATTTGGTTCCTGGTCTGTATCTGAACTGAGTTGAAGTGCTGGTAGTTCCCTTTGGAGCCTTACACGACTCTGGAACATCTGTATGTTGGAGTGCATTCCTTATGAAAAGAGAGAGACATTGGTCATGTTTCTTCAGATTTCCCCTATGGTCTGATGTATAGTGAGGGAATCAAGGCAAGAGGCAGCATCTTCTTGATTGTAGCCACCTGCATTTAGAACTGGCTGTTAGGAATTGTGGGAGTTAATGTCCAAAACACTTGGGCGGCCGAGGTTTGCCCAAGCCTGATTTAGAATGTTCTCCTCCAAGGAGTTGAGCTGGCAGCTAAATGCTAATGGTTGCAGAACTATCTCCCTATTATCATAGGAAGTTAGACTTCTAACCATTAGAATGTTTTAGTTTACACTCCTTATGAAGTTAGGCTTTTATTGCTTCAGTAATTGTATAAATTATAATCCACCCTAAAAGTGCTGAAGATTTGCAAGATACACCTTTTCATATATAGCGATCAAGGAATGTGGGTGTTTTGGAGATGTAGCTTCAAGACAATGATATTTAGATACTTGAAATTTGTTATGTATACTAAAAGGGGACTTGACAATGTCCCCTGTTTGTTTATTTGTTTGCCTTAGTTAACTTACGTGAATCATTATATTTGAAGCATGCAGTACCACTTCAGTCATTGGGCTGTTCTCTTCTCTAACTAATGTATAGCTTTGCAGTTAGTAGTTCGAAGGGGGTAGTTTGAGGGATTGTGTTACAAGTCTCTTGTGGGGCATTTCTTTTATGGGAATGAATTAGGCAAATCATACCTTCAGGAAGCTTTGAGGTGCCTTACGAAAGTGGATATACCATAGGGGCTCCATGTCTTCGCTGAAGCCAACACAGTGCAACCCACTGTGAGAGCTGTGTAACTTTGCTTAGAATGAATTAGGCAAACCATACCTTCAGGAAGCTTTGAGGTGCCTTATTAAAGTGGATATACCATAGGGTCTCCATGTCTTCACCAGAGCCAACACAGTGCAACCCCTATGAGAGCTGTGTAACTTTGCTTTAAGGTACTGATGATAAAAATAAGGGCTATTCAAAGCTAGATACCATCACTAATGAATATTCATTAGTGATAAGAGATTTAAAAAGCTATGGTTATAATCACCTTTTGGGTCTTCAGTTTTTTTAATATTATACACTCTTGTCTGATACATGATTCTCGTAAAATGCTAGGGATTGGAGACATATGGTCCCTCCATGGGACTTTTGCGGGCTATGCTACCTCTTTGCAACATCTGAGACATTTGAAAACAAGTTGTTTGGGGAGTGGTAAGAGCAAGCTGGATGGACAGCATCCTTGAAGGCTGACAGGGAGCTCTGCCATGGGCTGGTCCATGAGGTCACGAAAAGTGAATGAATAAACAACAAGGGAGACCAGTGTGGTATAGTGGCTTAAACATTGAAAAGTGACACTGGAAACCTGGGTTTGAATCACAACTTGGTCATGGAAAGCCACTGGATGATAGTGGGCAAGTCACATTCTCTTGATCTCAGAGGAAAGCAATAGCAAATCCTGTATGAGCATGTCTTGCCAAGCAAACAGCATGATAGTCTTAACTTATGGTTCCCATGAATCAGAAATTCACTTCTTAGGGTGTACTGTTTCTGGTTCACTTCCTGTTTTTTTTTAAAAATATATATCTTTCTCACTTCAAAATGTCTTTGGATGTGTGTGATGAAACTTCCCTCTCAATCTCTGAAAAAAAAAAAATAGAGGGTCAGAAATTGGCCTTGAGGGCTACATGTACAAGCTGTGCTTCCCCATCCTTGCTTTTCTACCTGTGAATGGCGTCGACAAGGATGCACTAATTTTTTTCTGACTATGAGGGCATAGTGGGAGGAATGAAGAAAATTTAATCTTTAATGCTGACGGCTGGTATTTTAGTTCTTTAGATGTAGAGGTAGACTTGAGCCACCTTGAGTCCCATTTTGGGAGAAAGGCAGGATATAAATTCAATCAGTCAATCAATCATTCAAGGCTGTTGCAGATCTTAAGGGTCCTTTGAATATTATTCTTGTTGTTTGGAAGAGCATTGAAATGATCCAGCCATGTAAGCAGTACCTGCTTAATGTTTATTGAAAGCACAAAATCTCATTATGATGGAATGGTGCTCTATGTCTAAGGTTTGTATGGTTAGGTCACCTAAGTGTGCCTAACAACAACAACAACAACAAAACAACACTTAATAATAATAATGATAATGACAACAACAACACTTATTTGTATTCCGCCCTATCTCTCCGAGGGGCCTCGGCAGATATACAGACACAGGCAAAAATTCAATGCCTCAAAACAATGAAACACAAATACACAGAAAAAGGTAAAGGCTTCCCCTTCATCTGTGGCTCTGGGGGAGGTTCTCATCTCCATTTCCAAGGCAAAGAACCTGTGTTGTCTGTAGACACCTCCTAGGTCATGTGGCTGGCATGACTACATGGAGTGCTGTTTACCTTCCCGCCAAGGCTGTACCTATTGGATAGGTACATCCATCAATAGGAGCATAGTGTCTAGATCTAGGGAAGTCATGCTACCCCTCTATTCTGCTTTGGTTAGACCACACCTGGAATATTGTGTCCAATTCTGGGCACCACAATTGAAGAGATATTGACAAGCTGGAATGTGTCCAGAGGAGGGCGACTAAAATGATCAAGGTGTCTGGAGAACAAGCCCTATGAGGAGCGGCTTAAGGAGCTGGGCATGTTTAGCCTGAAGAAGCGAAGGCTGAGAGGAGATATGATAGCCATGTGTAAATATGTGAGAGGAAGCCACAGGGAGGAGGGAGCAAGCTTGTTTTCTGCTTCCTTGGAGACTAGGACGCGAACAATGGCTTCAAACTACAAGAGAGGAGATTCCATCTGAACATGAGGAAGAACTTCCTGACTGTGAGAGCCGTTCAGCAGTGGAACTCTCTGCCTCGGAGTGTGGTGGAGGCTCCTTCTTTGGAAGCTTTTAAACAGGGGCTGGATGGTCATCTGTCAGGGGTGATTTGAATGCAATATTCCTGCTTCTTGGCAGGGGGTTGGACTGGATGGCCCATGAGGTCTCTTCCAACTCTTTGATTCTATGATTCTATTATTCTATTGATCTCACATTCGCATGTTTTTGAATTGCTAGGTTGGCAGGAGCTAGGGCTGTCAGCAGGAGCTCACCACGTCTCATGGATTCAAACTGCCAACCTTCCAGTTAGGACGTTCAGCAGCTCAAGAGTTTAACCCATTGTGCCACCACGGCCCTAGTTAGATGATAATTACTTAAAAGCTAGTATTTATTGCTTGCTTCCTAAATGGTAATCATGATTCATTGGGAACCCGAATCACCTTAATAGTGAGCAACACTAGTGTCAGTGTAGCTTTTAAGGTGCAAGGTCCACTCCTAAAACTCACTGGCAGTCCTTAGCCTCCTTTTTTATTTAAGAGAGAGCGGGGGAGAGAACTTGGTCTCATACCATACTTTTAACTGGTCTTTACAGTGGTTTTTATAGATTAGCTGAGGCCCTTTAGATTTTGTCATGGTTGTTACTTTGAGCCCATTTTTGGCAGAAAGACAAATGCCAAGCAGTGCTGTGAGTTGGCATTTGTTCCAGTTATTATATTTTTCCTTTTGGTTTGTTTCGGTTGGGGTTGATACTGTACATGGCCCCAAAAAGTATTCCAGCATGTGCGGCATCCATTGTAGCATTTGGAAATTAAAAGTTCTCATTGCGGGGACGTGCTGATTCCTGCTGTGCAGCATTTCCATCCGATGGGCCTGTCATTATGAATTTAGGAAGCACTTGGAGAACCCCCTGCTGCAACTGCAAGCGTAATGGAGACTGTTAACATTCAACTAGCGAGAATGTTGTCCTAATAAATTCTCAAAGAATAACTTCTGCTGCCTCAAAGCCTGAAGATAATAAAACCATTATTTTTCATGGGCTGTTGCGGGTATAATTAAAAACACAGCACTAGCTTGACATTTTAAGAATGGACCTGAAAGCTATTGACGACATTTTGCTTCTTGTATTAAGGCAGCAATTTCCAGCAGCTCTTCTTTTATTCTCTTCCTCCTTCACTTATTTTGTGAAGTATTTATTCTTACTTGTCACTTTGGTGGCTATAACGAGTACACAGATAATTTTCCTTTAAATAAAGATGAATAGGGTTGATAGATAGAGCCTTTCTTCAGATTCAGCAAATAATAGTCTGGCTTGCTTGGAAATTACATATTTGCTAATGTGATACTTTTGACATGGCCGAAGCTCTGCTTGGCTGAATGAGACTAACATAGAGGGATTTTAGCACACTCATCCCTGTTTCTTGTTCATTCATCTGCGATAAGAAGAGATAAGGGTGATCCATGCCTTAGTCACCTCCAGATTGGACTACAGTAATGCACTCTACGTGGGGCTGCCTTTGAAAATGGCCCGGAAATTTCAGTTGGTCCAGCGGGCGGCGGCCAGGCTAACTGGTGCTCCTTACAGGGAGTGGTCAGCCCTCCTGTTTAAGGAGCTCCATTGGCTGCTGTTCATTTTCCAGTCCCAATTCAAGGTCCAGGTACTTACCTACAAAGCCCTAAATGGTTTGGGACCCGCCTACCTGCATGACTGCATCTCTGTATACGAACCCACACGATCTCTTCGATTATCTGGAGACGCCCTGCTCGCAATCCCACCTGCATCGCAAGCGTGATTGGTGGGAACGAGGGACAGGGCCTTCTCTGTGGTGGCCCCTCGACTCACTCCCCAAGGACATCAGGCATGCCCCAACGTTGGCAGTCTTTAGAAGGAGCTTGAAGACGTGGTTGTTCCAGTGTGCCTTCCCAGAATAAGGAAACTCCAAGCAATATGTCCCAAATGCACTTTACTAGAGATCTAGAATTGCCTGCATGCCCCACCTATCCCTAAAATATCTATCCTATTTCACCTTATCATGCCCAGCACTTTTAAAGATTTTAAGTATTACATTTGGCCCTGCCACATGTTTTAATGCACCACAGTGTTATTGTTAATGTTTTTGCTTTGTTTATGAATTTTTATTATTGTATTGTTGTTGTGTTTTACGGATGTATTTTGGCTCGGCCTCTTGTAAGCCGCACCGAGTCCTTCGGGAGATGGTAGCAGGGTATAAATAAAGGTTTATTATTATTATTATTATTATAAGTGGTATGATCCCCGATTCAAATGCAAACTGATCTGACCAGCAGGCAAAATTAATCTGCAAGTTAGGACACCTTAAATTCATCCCTGAAGAATTAAAAAATGGCCTCCTCTTTCCTCTCCTTTAAAACACATCTATCCACTTTAACCTATGGAGAGAAGGAGGACTAATTACACCTTATATACACCCCTGCCTTTATTTATTTATTTACTACGCTTCTATATCGCCATTCTCAGCCCGGGTGACTTGTAGTTGAACATCTATTTTCGTTAATCTGGTAGATACCTTCTTAACTTCAACAATTTTAGTCTATTTTTAAAAGGGTTTAAAAGGATTTAATATGTTAAATGTGAAGAATATATTATGTCTTGTTTATTTAGGCTGCTTTTTGATTTGTTATGTATTATCCTTGGCATTGAATGTTTGCCACTGTGTTTTATTTTGTTGTAAGCCACCTTCGGGGAGATAGGGCGGGCTATAAATAAAGCATTATTATTATTATTATTATTATTATTATTATTATTATTATTGACACAAACGCACAGTATGTCACAGCAAATGAGATCTCTATGCTGGATTTCGTATCACAAAATCACAAGTCGAACACTTCCAAAGCTTCTAGGACTGTGTGATGTATTTTCGAATGATGCGAGCAGATCCAAGTCAGGTGGCCTTTTGCAGTTGACAAATCGTGATTTTGTCAATGTTTATTGTTTCCAAATGCCGGCTGAGATCTTTTGGCACGGCACCCAGTGCACCAATGACCACTGGGACCACCTGTACTGGTTTATTTCGGAGGCTTTTCAGTTCGATTTTGAGGTCTTGATAGCGGCTGAGTTTTTCCTGTTGTTTTTCCTCAATGCTACTCTGTCACCTGGTATGGAGACATCAGTAATCCAGACTTTTTTCTTTTCCACGATCGTGATGTCTGGTGTATTGTGCTCCAAAACTTTGTCAGTCTGGATTATTATTATTATTATTATTATTATTATTATTATTATTATTATTTGCTGCTTCTGAATTGCTCTGAACTGCAGCCAAAAACAAAAGCAGAAGTTAACCCAGGGTGCTCTTATGCTATCTTTCTTTTTCTCTCTCTCTTTTGTTTGCATTGATAAACTTGAAATGAGCTGAACAAAGGCACCTCAGCATTTGGGGAAAGGCTTTATTAGAGCACCAGCTGAAAATTGCTAAATAAATAAATAAAAATAACCCTCTCCGATTGCCCAGAGCATAGATGAACAATGGGAGTTACACTTTTGAAAATACAAGAATCAGCTTCTGTTCAAATGTAACCTTTGCAACAATGAATCATCTTGTGAGGAAGTGTTAGTAGAGTAAGAAAATGAGACACATTTTTTAAAATGCACAACCTGAATGAAAGAAATCCAATTTACAGATAATGTTATAGTGATTGTAGCCTCCTCTCTCTCCAAATGCTATTCTTCCTTCAACAACACATTGATATTCTTTAGAGTGTAGAAAGGTGATGGGTACCTGATTGTACTCTTCTCCCAGTTTCTGTCCTAATCAGTAGTAGGTTACCTGTAGCCATGTAAGTTTCTTTTCTTTCCAGAACTTTTGCCATATTGAGTGTCCATAGGCAGATAATTATTCTGTTCCGTGTTCAGTAATGTCTATCACTGCAAACTTATTTTCTTTTTTGTCTTTTCTAGCACTAGAGCATGTTCCAAACTCTGTCCGCTTGTGGAAAGCAGCTGTGGAGTTGGAAGAGCCTGAGGATGCCAGAATAATGCTCAGCCGAGCTGTGGAGTGCTGCCCCACAAGTGTAGAAGTAAGTTGGAAAAAATCATTTTCTGTTACAGGATGCACATGGATTGCCCCAAAAGGGGTTTGGGGCTGAGCTGAAAGTGTTATTAGACATTTGACCTTGAACTGGGGAACCAAAATTGTGAGGAGGCAGGATGCACACGTCCACACCCAGCAAAATTGTTTAGGATAACTGCTTATCAGACGACTTAACAATATTGATATCAACTACGGCACTTTAACACTTTTTCTTGTATTGCCCATTTTACATTAGCAGCTATTGGTGCGTTTTATTGAGTGTTTTATTGGTTGTTGTAATTTTTGTGTTATTTATGTTCATTGACATTGTAATTGCTGTTATTATGGATATTGATGCATTTATGTGTTATTGCACAATATGCGCTGTGTTGTAAGCCTCCCAGAGTCCCTTTTTTTGGAAATGGTGGAGGGATATAAATTATTATTATTATTATTATTATTATTATTATTATTATTTATAGTTTGCTGTTTCTAATATCGCAGTGGTGGCACCCCTGTTTTCTTCCTCCAGTCCTTCTCAGAATCTCTCAAATGTTGATACTTTTTCATGTATCAGTATCTACACATGAAAGTAGCATTTACTACTCCTAAAGGCCCTCCATATCTCAATTTTTCTACTCATCAATATATGGAAAAATGTTGGGCGTTTGACTTTGCCTTAGAAGGCTTTGCATGCTAGTGATTCTCAGTCTCTTATATCATATGGTTCTGTCTGTTCTGAAAAATTTGGCAGTTTTTCTGAAAGAAATGTACCATATATACTCATGTATAAGTCGATTTCATGTATATGTTGAGGGCATATTTGGGGGCCAAAATTAGGGATTTTGTCATAATCAGTAGATAAATCAAGGGTCATTCCATGGAGAGGGCAAAGGAACCCCTCAGGGAGTCAGTCCCCTTCCCATAGTTGCCACCATTTCCTCACTCAGGCATTAAAAAGTCCAGGGATGGCTTCATAGAAGGCGAGAAAGAAAGGTGCCAGTGCTTCCCTTAGGTTTTCTATATGATCCTGGTCATCTCTGTAGACTAAGGTTCCTTTTTAGATAAGCAATTCAAGTGTTCACATTGAGCCACAGCTAAATTGAAATATGTTTTTTGGGGTTGTTTTTCACATAGTTTTTTGGGGGTTAATTTTTTTGTCTAAAATTTCTAGACTTAGGTAAAGGTAAAGATTTCACCTTGACATTAAGTCTAGTTGTGTCCAACTCTTGGGGTTGGTACTCATCTCCATTTCTAAGCCGAAGAGCCGGCATTGTCCATTACCTTCCCACAGTGGTACCAATTGATCTACTCACATTTGCATGTTTCTGAAGTGCTAGGTTGGCAGAAGCTGGACTGAACAGCGGGAGCGCACCCCACTCTTTGAATTTGAACTGCCAGCCTTTTGGTCAGCAAGTTCAGCAGCTCAGTGGTTTAACCTGCTGCGCCACCAGGAGCCCCTTTTTCTAGACTTATTCATGAGTATAAGGGCATATGTTTACAAGCATTTAAAAACTCTATTTGTCACCAGTGATAAATGTGTTTTTTTAAAAAGATAATCTGCCGAGGGAGTCTGTGTGGTTTTAAGGTGTGTCACCTGACTGAGAAACCTTCTTTGCTCTTGCAGCTGTGGCTGGCCTTGGCAAGGTTGGAGACCTATGAAAATGCCCGTAAAGTCTTAAACAAGGCCCGTGAAAACATCCCAACTGACAGGCACATCTGGATCACAGCTGCCAAACTCGAGGAGGCCAATGGGAACACACAGATGGTGGAGAAGATTATAGATCGAGCCATCACTTCGTTAAGGGCAAACGGAGTGGAAATAAACCGGGAGCAGTGGATCCAGGTGCTGGTTTGGATTTTCTGTTTGGAAACCCTACTTAATTATTGCCTTGTTTTTGATCCTGCAATATGTAATTAATGTGAATGGGACACCGTGGTTCACAGTAGTATGAATGAATACAGGAAGTTATGATGGACAGTTGCCTATCAAATCTCAACTTATAGTAAATGTGTTAGCATTTTCTGCACATTAAAACAACTAGTTTTCTGAAATCCGTTGTGGATGGATAGAGTAGGAAAACCAAGTGACATGCCAGAAATTTCCAGCGGGTTAGTGATGGGATTCAGGGAGAACAATACAAGAGGGAGAGATGAATTTTACTGATGCGCAACATTTTTCAAGGACATTTAAACTTTACTATCTTATATTAAGTCTCATTGTGAGACTTATCTGCGCAATCATGCATATTTTATTTCACCCAGATTTTAATGACTGTGTAGAATTTTGCTGATATCAGATCCGGTGATGGTTTAGAAGGTTAGTAAAATGAGATTAGACAAAGTCTTTACCAAAATGTTGCTAAACACTGATTGCTGGGAGGCAAGCAAAACATTCTCTGAGTGTGCTAGTAAGTATTAAGATTGCTCTGAATAGTTTATTTTAGGTTGGTAACCTTTCTACATTGCCACGTGTCAATTTTCAATTGATCTTCCTCATGTATATGATTCTTCTTCCCTTCTCCCTCCCTGTTATCCTTACAATGGAGCCCCTAGTGGCGCAATGGGTTAAACCCTTGTGCTGACAGGACTGAAGACCGAGAGGTTGCAGGTTCAAATCAGAGGAGAGCACGGATGAGCTCCCTCTGTCAGCTCCGGCTTCCCATTTGGGGACATGAGAGAAGCCTCCCACAAGGATGGTAAAACATCAGAAACATCCAGGCATCCCCTGGGCAATGTCCTTGCAGACGGCCAATTCTTTCACACCAGAAGCTACTTGCAGTTTCTCAAGTTGCTCCTGACATGAAAAAAATCCTTACAATAACTTTGTACAGTTGACTGGCCAGATATCACCTAGTTAGCCCTATGCCTGAGTGTGGACTTAAGCCAGGTTGTCCCCAGGTGTACTTCTGGCACTAGCCTTCATACAACCTTTCCCCCTGACACGACAAATAAATAAACCTTTCCCCTTTAAAAAAAACCCCAGTTCTGTCTGAAAATATAAACAACATACAGTACAATCCCTGTATCATTGAGACACAGTTTTATTTATCACCAACTGGAAAAAGTCCTCTCTACACATTTTCTTGGTCCACCACTGTGACTGTGTGGTATTCTTGATCTGAAAATCATTTATCTCAAGGGGGTTTGCTTTTACCAGTGGTTTTATGTATCCATGAGATGTGTGGCAGTATGTTTTTGCTGGATATGGGGGTTGTACTGTGTTTCACTTCCTTTAAGGTATCATGTGGGGAATATAGTAAAAATGTGTTGTGATTACTGTTACTATCTAGAAATGTTAGCTTGTGTTCCTACTTGGATATTTGCTGTTTAGAAAGGTTAATGTTCCAGATAATTCCTTTCGTGTTCCTTCAGCCTTGTTTTATAGTCCAGTCCTGAATTCCCAGCATTAATTGTTGTGGCTTTTCTTCTAGGATGCTGAAGAGTGTGATAAAGCAGGGAGCGTAGCAACATGCCAAGCGATTATGAGAGCTGTGATAGGAATCGGCATTGAGGAAGAGGATCGGAAGCACACTTGGATGGAAGATGCAGATAGTGTAAGTTCAGATCCTGAGTGTGAAATAAGGACACCAAAAGCAACTGCCTAATAAGTTGGGCATGTTTCAGGTGGATGGCGTGATGTCTCTGGAATCAATAGTGAATGTCATGTTTAGATGCACCTGGCAGTATGTTTATAAGTCTGCTCTAAGACTGTTTCGGTGCCATATTTGAGGAACTGATGTATTCATCTGCTGTAAAAGTGTCCTGTGGCAAATATGCTTCAGTGCTTAACTCCAAAATAACCCTTTAAAAAGATATTTCTGGATGCAATTTCATATCACTCCTCTGGATTTCAGAGAAAGGAATGGCAAAACCATCTGGGTTACTGTGGGTTTTCTTTCTTGACATTTTGCCCACATTATGGCAGGCATCCTCAGAGGTTGTAAGCTTTGTTGGAAACTAGGCAAGTAAGGTTTATATATCTGTGGAAGGTTCAGGGTGAGAGAAAGAATTCTTGTCTGCTTGAGGCAAGTATGAATGTTGCAGTTGGCCACCTTGATTAGCATTTAATGGCCAGCAAATAAAGAACAACACTCAGAAAATGGGAATTCCAGGCAGGAATCAGTCAGGGCCAGCTAACATTTTCAATTAAAGTATTCCCCAAAGAGTAAGCAGCCAGGCTTTGAAGTTACAAGGCCATTCAATGCTAATCATGGTGGCCAATTGCAATATTGACACTTGCCTCTTCAGACAAGAGTTCTTTCTCCCACCCTGAACATTCCACAAATAGAGAAACCTCACATGCCTAGTTTCCAACAGATCTCACAACTTCTGAGGATGCCTGCCATAGATGTGGGCGAAACATCAGGAGAGAATGCTTCTGAAACATGGCCATACAGCCCAGAAAACTCACAGCAACCCCATGATTCTGGCCATGAAAGCCTTCCGACAACATGAAAACCATCTGTTTACCTAAGAAAAACCTTTGGAATTTATGAGGTTGCCCCCGTCAACGGGCAACTTGAAAGGGCAGAAACATAAGACTGTCATGAGGTTTCAGGGGTTTGCCATTTCCTTCCTCTAAAGCTGAGAGTGTTAGTTGCCACCTCAAGGTATAAGCACTGACATCTTTTGTTCCAAGCCCCAATAATCCTGTGTTTTTGTATTATTTTCAACTTTCCTACAGTGCGTTGCTCACAATGCCCTGGAGTGTGCCCGTGCAATCTATGCTTATGCCTTACAAGTTTTTCCCAGCAAGAAAAGTGTCTGGTTGCGAGCGGCCTATTTTGAAAAGAACCATGGAACCAGGTACAAAATGCTTTGTAGCATTTCAAAAAAATTCTGGTTGTGTTGACTCCTGATGAAGGGAACCATGTTTGGATGGGGTATTTCATTTCACTTGTAGTATTTTGGGGGAACACACTCCAGGAGATGTGAATTCATTTTCTTGGTTTTATTTTGGTTATCTGGACGGACTTGCCTTCCGCTGTATTTATTTATTTACAGTATTTATATTCCGCCCTTCTCACCCTGCAGGGGACTCAGCGGATTACAATACACACATACTGTACATGGCAAACATTCAATGCCAGTTAGACATACAACATATATAGACAAACACAGAGGCAATTTAATATTCCAGCCGTGCCCAAGCTTTTTCTGACGTCATGAGGGTATGCTGGATTCCGGCTCGATTCCAGCCACAGGGGGAGCTGCTGCTTCATCGTTCATTCTGACACCAAGTCCTTTATGGAGTACTTCCTCATTCTTCTGCACACTGCTGGAAGGTTTTTATGGCATAGTAGAATCATAGAGTTGGAAGAGACCTCATGGGCCATCCAGTCCAACCCCCTGCCAAGAAGCAGGTATATTGCATTCAAAGCACCCTTGACAGATGGCCATCCAGCCTCTATTTAAAAGCTTCCAAAGAAGGAGCCTCCACCACACTCCGGGGCAGCGAGTTCCACTGCTGAACAGCTCTCACAGTCAGGAAGTTCTTCCTCATGTTCAGATGGAATCTCCTTTCTTGTAGTTTGAAGTTATTGTTCATAGTAAATTAGTTAAATTGGCCTCCCTGCATAAGTGGTACCTAAATTTCCTACTTGACAGATGCAACTGTCTTTTGGGCTGCATAGGTCGACAGCAAGCTTGACGAATGGCCGGAAGTTCACTCTAATCCTGGCTGGATTTGAACTCCTAACCCAGTGACATGCAACTTGATGTGGTAGCTGCAGCCTGATTTGCACTGTGGGGCTGCTTCCATTACATTTCAGGCATTTTAGAATGCCTTATAACCCCATTTTAGGAAGTGGGGCTACATTGAGTTGAAGAATCCCTAAAATACAGTATTCTGTCATTGGTCTTGTAGGATTTGCAAATTCATTTAGAGCGGCCATTGTCAAGAGACTAAAAGTTAGAGATTTAAGAGATTTGAGTAGAAATGTGGAAGCTGCTATTTGGTATATCAATAATAATTCTACTAGTAACAACAGATACGAACATCTGGGTATATTTTCCTTTTTTGCCTCAGCACTATTCACTCATTCCTGATCTGTGTTTCCACAGATATCAGGATGGGATACAACAACTCACATCAACTCATTTGTCACATGATTTATGATCTGATGAGCCTGAGAAGTGGGAGAGAGAATAGGTTGTGGCAATGATCATTGTATACATCCTTCATAAAATAAATGGTGGAAGGTTTTGTCTCTGAAAGCTACCACAGTAACAGAATGATGTAGCCCCAACATGTCCAGACACTGAGAATTCCCAAGTCATTGATGCCTTTCTTTGGTACCTTCGCAGGGAATCTTTGGAGGCTCTTTTGCAGAGGGCTGTAGCTCACTGCCCCAAAGCAGAGGTCCTCTGGCTGATGGGGGCCAAATCAAAATGGCTTGCTGGAGACGTCCCTGCCGCTCGGAGTATTCTGGCTTTGGCTTTCCAGGTGAGTTTCTCTTTCTTTGTGCATCTTTCACAGAATCCACCATCACTCAGACAGCAAGCCATCGCATCAAAATGCTGATTGCGTGGCTTCACTGGAACATCCTAATCATCATTTGAAATGTGCTATTTATATACAATGCAATCCCTATATACATGTATAACTGCATTATGTGATCAGTGTAGACCAGGCATGGGCAAAGTTCTGCCCTCCCTCCAGGTGTTTTGGACTTCAATTCCCACAGTCGGTAGATGAAGGAAGGGTTTTAAATATATATAATATTAAAAAATAGTGAACTGATAAGATGTAAATTCTAAGAAGGCAGGACTTGATAGGTGAATATTTCAGCTTTCTTATTCTCCTTTTTGAAAATGGTCCACATCCTTGGGAAAGTGCATGCTTCCAGTAAGAGTGTCTAAACAGCAGCACATTACTTTAAAATTCCCAAGCAAACTTGAAAGGAGTGTTTACGTGTCTGCCTTACATTGTTAGCTAAGACAAATGGGAATATCACATAGGTTGCACAGTTGCTTCAATTCTTTCTGTTGGGATCTGCCATATTGGCATTGGACAAAATCAGAAATTTATTTATTTATTTATTTATTTCTCATGTCATCAGCAACCAGACCATTGCATTACATATCTAACAGAACAAAACAAACAAACAGATAAAAAACCACAAATTTTGCAAACTTGGTAATTGATTAAATGTCCTTTGACCAGTATCTGGCCACTTGGAGTACCTCTGGTGTTGCCGCAAGGAGGTCCTCCATTGTGCATGTAGCAGAGCTCAGGTTGCATTGAAGCAGGAGGTCTGTGGTTTGCTCTTCTCCGCACTCGCATGTCGTGGATTCAACTTTGTAGCCCCATTTCTTAAGATTGGCTCTGCATCTCGTGGTGCCAGAGCGCAGTCTGTTCAGCGCCTTCAAAGTCGCCTAGTCTTCTGTGTGCCCAAGAGGGAGTCTCTCATCTGGTATCACCCACGGATTGAGGTGCTGGGTTTGAGCCTGCCACTTTTGAACTCTCGCTTGGTGAGGTGTTCCAGAGAGTGTCTCTGTAGATCTAAGAAAACTATTTCTTGATTTTAAGTCATTGACGTGCTGGCTAATACCCAAACAAGGGATGAGCTGGAGATGTCACTGTCTTGGTCCTTTCACTGTTGGCTGCTACTTCCCGGTGGATGTCAGGTGGTGCAATACCGGCTAAGCAGTGTAATTTCTCCAGTGGTGTAGGGCGCAGACACCCTGATTAATTAATTAATTAGAAATTAATTAGAAATTAATCTCCAATTCCTAGATTACCTATAGAACTGTGTCATGGGACCTTTCAAGGTCATATAATAATAATAATAATAATAATAATAATAATAATAATAATAATAATAATAATAATCTTTATTTCTACCCCGCCACCATCTCCCCAATGGGGACTCGTTGCGGCTTACATGGGGCCAAGCCCGGACAACATAATACAGCAATAAAATCAAAACATATACATCAGACAACAACATTATCAAAATGACATTAAAATAATAATAGTAATAATAAAAAAAATAAAATACCAATAGACACAATCACAATAGAAATGACAATGAGCAGGCCACATATTCCGAATAAAAACAATTAACAGACTATGATGAGATAAAATAGGAGCAGGAAGTTTTAACTCATAAAACACACAAGACCATGTCTCAGTGTGATATATCAATTTGGAAGGTATATGAAGCAGTTGAAAAGGAGCCAGGACTTAAATTTTCTGATGCCATTCCCCTCTGTCTTTCAGGCCAACCCCAACAGTGAAGAGATTTGGCTGGCTGCTGTGAAGCTGGAATCTGAAAACAATGAATATGAAAGAGCAAGGAGGTTGTTGGCAAAGGCTCGAAGCAGTGCCCCAACAGCCCGGGTAAGCTGTGGGTAGTTCTGAGGGTGCTTTCTCATGAGAAATGATGCCACATCTGAAAGTACCTTGGTTGGATCAGACCCATGTCTCTGTTTAGTTTGGTAGCTGTAAACCGTGAAGACCTCCTCAGGCACCACACTGTTACAATCTATAATGCAGCAGATGGTGGAGACTGAAGTCGGGGGTCTTCTCACAGAATCATAGAATTGGAAGACACCATCCAGCTTCTGTTTCAAAACCTCTTGAGAAAACTATACTCCCTTATGCTTATGAATAAGCCCACCTCTCTCCCTTGTGCTTTAAAAGTCAAGATTCCCGAAGGAGCCTGATGCCCAAGTGTCACATAATCCACATTAATGGATCACGATAAATTGCTTTGTGTTCTGGGTCAGCTGGAGCAAAAATGTCCAGGTCTTCCTCACTGGTGAATGGTATTGTTGTGGAAGAAAGGCCAGGTAGAAGCAGTCATGGACTTTAACCCAGCACATTTGTTGAATTTTATGCTTGCATTTAAATTTCAAGGCATCCACGACGTGCTTGCATCTTTTCTTTTAGAAAGTTATGTCCTACCTTTCTACAGTCCTCTTTCTTGGAATTTTTGAGAGTCGAGAATGTAGGAGAATTTGTATCAGATCCCCTATTTATAATGATAGGAGCCCCCGGTGGTGCAGTGGATTAAACCACTGAACTGCAGAACTTGTTGACTGAAAGGTTGGTGGTTCGAATCTGGGAAGCGGGATGAGCTCCTGCTGTTAGTCCCAGCTTTTGCCAACCTAGCAGTTCAAAAACATGCAAATGTAAGTAGATCAATATGTACCACTTTTACAGGAAGGTAACGGCGTTCTATGCAGTCATGCTGGCCACATGACCTTGGAGGTGTCTATGGACAGTGCCAGCTCTTTGGCTTAGAAATGGAGATGAGCATCACCCCCCAGAGTCGGACTCAACTAAACTTAATATCAAGGGGAAACCTTTACCTTTACTATTTATAATAAACTAGCCGTCCCCTGCCATGCGTTGCTGTGGCCCAGTCTGATGATCTGGAAAATAAAGTGTTGGTTTCTAATATATGTAATTTCTTTCTGCTTGTGGGCAAACAGTATTTCTTGTTTCTTTGTCAGTGTTGATGCGGAGATTGTCTGGTTTGCCCACTCTGGAATATGCAACATATAGTTGTCCTTCTTTAAGAGTCCCTTTCATATCAATGATACTATGTCTCTGTGTGTGTGTGAATCATATATATCTATATATCTATGGATGGATGGATGGCTCTTTGTCAGGAGGGCTTTGATTATGTTTTCTTGCCCTTGTGAAGGGAGTTGGATGGCCTTAAATATTTTCTGTTGGTCATGGGGGTTCTGTGTGGAAAGTTTGCCCCAATTCTATCGTTTGTGGGGTTCAGCATGCTCTTTGATTATAGGTGAACTATAAATCCCAGTAACTACAACTCCCAAATGTCAAGGTCTCTTTCCCTCAAACTCCATCTGTGTTCATATTTGGACATATGGAATATTCGTGCCAAGTTTTGTCCAGATCCATCATTGTTTGAGTCCACAGTACTCTCTGGATGTAAGTGAACTACAACTCCCAAACTCAAGATCAATGCCCACCAAACCCTTTTAGTGTTTTCTGTTGGTCATGGGAGTCCTATCTGCCAAGATTGGTTCAATTCCATCACTGGTGGAGTTCAAAATGCTCTTTGATTGTAGGTGAACTATAAATCCCAGCAATTACAACTCCCAAATGACAAACTCAATTTTTTGAGTGAAGGACATACATTGGGTTGTTAGGTGTATGCTTTCCAAATTTGGTGTCAATTCCCCCAATGGTTTTTGAGTTCTGTTAATCCCACAAACGAACATTACATTTTTATTTATATAGATAATCCTACCTCATCCTTGCTGTTAGTTGAAAATGCCTTGCAAATAACTTAATCATTCAAAACCTAGTATAAGATCAATTGCAGCCGTGTCCTGTTCCTTACAGCAAGATCTTACTCTTTACAACCAGTTAGTGGGGATTCAGAGGTACAGTTAAACATGCTTTCTTTGTGTGCCTTCTCAGGTCTTCATGAAGTCGGTCAAATTGGAATGGGTGCTTGGAAACATTGCTGCAGCTCAGGAACTCTGTGAGGAAGCCCTGAGGCACTACGAAGATTTCCCCAAGCTGTGGATGATGAAGGGACAGATTGAAGAGCAGGAAGAACTGATAGAAAAAGCTCGAGATGCCTACAACCAAGGGGTACGTAAGGGCAACGCTTCTTTTTTCTCCTCACCTAGTTGCTTGAGAAGATGGGCTGTCTAAATATTCCTGCAAGAGCTGCAGTCCAGCTTCTCTGCATGGAGCAAAACAAGAGCTATGAAGGTCAGCCTCTGGGCTCAGGCCATTCTCATCCATTCCCATCAAGCTTTTGGAGAAGGACCAGGAATTTACCAGATGTGTCAACAGTTTTTTCCCCCTATCTTTTATGCACACTTGCTGGGATGTCCAGCTTCAGCTGTTCTCCTCTTACAAGGATTAATGACTTGTTCTGGGAAGGTGACTAACTTGCACAGCTATTTTTAAGTAGGTGATTGATTAAACCAGGGCTTCTGGAGAGGTGCCCAACTTGTAAATGAGTGGGGGAAATTTATCAACAGACAAGCATGTTTCTCTTTGACCTTTCCTGCCATAATGGTGAGCAGAAAGTTATCCCAGTGGAAGAGTATCTGCCTGTATGTGCATCTGCTTTCTTTCTACTAAGGTTTTCTCCTTTTGCTTCCAACAGCTGAAGAAGTGCCCTGGCTCCATACCTCTTTGGCTCTTGCTGTCCAGGTTGGAAGAGAAGGTTGGCCAGCTCACCCGTGCCAGAGCCATCTTGGAAAAGTCTCGCTTAAAGAATCCAAAGAACCAAGATCTGTGGTAAGACATCACATGGGGATTCTGAATATTTCAGTGGCCTTATCTCTGGCAACATTCACAACATCTCAAATAGGGTTAGAATTAAGTTTTGAAAATATTTAGCAATTGTGCAAAAACCATTTTCTTTGAATATCAAGAACACCCAACAAGAATTTTCAAGAGTCTTTTTAGTTCAGGACTTATTTATTTTATTTACTTACAGTATTTATATTCCGCCCTTCTCACCCTGCAGGAGACTCAGGGCGGATTGCAATGTACATATACATGGCAAACATTCAATGCCATAGACACACAACATATATAGACAGACAGAGGCTATTTAACATTCCAGCTTCTGGCCACCAGGGGAGCCGTCCTTTGTGACACTGATGAAGTGCTTTCCTCATTCTTTGCATACTTCCTGGAGATTTTTATGGCCTTGTAAATCAGTTAAAATAGCCTCCCCATATAAGTGGTACCTAAATTTCCTACCTGACAGATGCAACTGTCTTTCAGGCTTCAAAGGTTGACAACAAGCTACACAATTTTGGTCGGGAACTCACTCCAACCCGGGCTGGCTTCGAACTCATGACCTTTCGGTCAGTAGTGATCTTAATGCAGCTGACTCCCAGCCAGCTGCGCCACAGTCCCGGTGCTTACTTGGTTGGTTTGCACACACAAAAAAGTATTTCTTCTTTTTTCCTTCAAGAAATAATTAAAAACTTTCTTGTTTAGACAGGCCTTTAGTGAAGGAAACTAAGCTGGAGTGATAAGAAACACAATAATGTTTATGGACTGGAACAGAGTGCAGTATGATCTGACATGAGCCCCACAAGGATGTGAATGTATATTAGCATTGTTTTAAATTGCTATTTTCTAGTTATTATTGATGTATTTGGATTGTTGTTTACATTATTTTAATATGTTGTAAGCCGCTTTGGGTACGGTGAGGAAGAAAAGTGGGATATAAACAAGAATTATTTTTATTTTATTTTCTGCCCAGAAAATAGCCTTTCCTGTTCATAAAAAAGCTATTTTTCCTATCTGGAAAATTCTGTATTTGCAGACATTCCATGTAAAACTCACTTTTTTTCTGTACAGGAAATAACACTTCTGTGGAAAATGCCATGTTCTGCTTAGAAAATGCTAATTTCTGTACAGAACAACTATGTGCACACAATAAATCCCAAATTGTGAATAGGTCTTGAAAACTTTGTGGTTTTAAAAACCTTTCTAGAAACGAGAAGAAAATGGCTAAAATTACTCATTGCTTCATTTTTGAAATAAATTGATGACAAATTGCATCTGTAATATGTTTTCTCTCATAGGTTGGAATCTGTGCGATTAGAATACAGAGCTGGCCTGAAAAACATTGCTAATACACTGATGGCAAAGGCACTCCAAGAGTGTCCCAATTCTGGTAATAGAGGAGTTACTTTTTCTTTGGCCTGTTGCCTATTGTTTAGCCTGTGATTTAATTTATTTATGAAGAAATTACGATGATGAACCATTGAGAAGGATTGCTTTGTCTCCTAGTCCTGCTGTGTCAAATTTCACCATTATATCTGCCTGAAACTTGTATATCAACAGTATTTCTTTCAGTGGAGTGTTGTCTGGGTTCTGGGCTGTATAGCTGTGTTCTAGCAGCACTTTCTCCTGACATTTCACCTGCATCTGTGGCTGGTGTCTTCAGAGGACCCTCTGAAGAGGCCAACCACAGATGCAGGTGAAACGTCAGGCGAAAGTGCTGCTAGAACACAGCCATATAACCTGGAAACCACACAACACTCCAGTGATTCTGGCTAGAAAGCCTTTAACAATACAATATTTCTTTCAACTGGGAATAGTGGAGCACAAACAGGAGCCTAAATGTACCCTTGTTTAAATGGCATAGGTCTTGGGGGATCCAGAAATGCAAACCTTTGTATTCAGGTGTAGAAGCGGTTTTACAAATGAATATCATGCCTGGAAGATTATGGAGATTCTGTTGGTTGAAGAATGAATATTGAAGTTATGCAAGTTTGCAGAATTGGATACATTCCTTCCTTTAGTCAGAGAAAAGGCAATGGGCAGATCTTTTTAAAGTAGGACAGAGTATTTGCAATTTTTATGTGAAAGGGGAAAGAAGATAGTGCTTGTGGGTTTTGTAAATTAGTTTTTAGTAACTACAAGAGAGGAGATTCCATCTGAACATGAGGAAGAACTTCCTCACTGCGAGAGCCTTTCGGCAGTGGAACTCTCTGCCCCAGAGTGTGGTGGAGGCTCCTTCTTTGGCAGCTTTTAAACAGAGGCTGGATGGCCATCTGTCAGGGGTGCTTTGAATGCAGTTTTCCTGCTTCTTGGCAGAATGGGGTTGGACTGGATGGCCCATGAGGTCTCTTCCAACTCTTTGAATCTATGATTCTAAGTAGTAGCCATATAAAACTAGTTTTCTTTTTGAGCAGTTAAAATTTAAATATCCATTTACTGTTGAGTGAGTCGGCTTATCAACAAAAGACCCTCCTCATAAATGCACAGCAGAGTAACTTATTAGCAGCAGCGTGACCCAGCACCAGTAGCCCAAAGTGGCAAAAAGAACAAAACACAGAGACCAATATTATATTTTCCATAGGAAGCTTTTCTTTATAGCAAAGTAATATGGTTCACACTATTTACAAGAAAAGGTTTCCATAACACAAATAAAGTTCTCTATACTTCCTTCTTTGCTTCCACGCTGGGCTTCTTTCTCATGGAGATAAACAACTTTGCTGTCACAGAGCCCCCTCTCACATAGAAGTTATACTGGAGCTTCACACACGATGGCCTTCAACCTGGGGCTTCTCTCCCCAAAGCTTCTCTCACCAGGCCTACTCACACTGAGGCCTACTAAAACTGAGTCCTTCTCACACTGAGAACTCTTTCAGACTGACGCCTCCTAACACTGAGACGAACTAACACTGAGGCCTTTTCATACTGAGGCCTGTTGACACACTGTGGCCCTTCTCCCACAGAGAACTCTCACAGCTACCGGCACACCTGCCTATATCAAACTTCAGGTTTTGCTGAGTCATTGCATCTATTTAACCCTTTCAGTGCTTGACTCACATTTTTATAATTAAAAATACCTGGTTAATTTTTGATATTTCTGACATTTATGCCGTTGGTAGGAAAGTGGGAAGTCATTTTTTAATCTTGTATTTTATTGCAGTTTAGTTTAGTATTATAGTAATTTGCAGAGGCAGTTAGCAGTTGTTAATGTAGTTTTTGTTTTGGTATTATTTTGTATATATACAGTATAAACATCAAATGGAAGGAGGTAGCTCAGAGGAATTATTAACTGATTGATTGATATTGTGGTTTATCCAGGATAATAATAATAATAATAATAATAACTATTATTGTTTATACCCTGCTTTATCTCTCTCGAAGGGGACTCAAAGGATAAAACTTGACTTTACAGACATGGTGGAAATGCATCCAGACAGGTCTTAGTTAAGAGTTGCCCTGTCTGATTTTTTTCTCATCCTCAAACTACTCCAGCACTCCCCTGTCCACTCTCTGCCTATTAAGCAGTCAACATTTGTTATCTTCCACAGATGTTTTAAGGTGTGAAGTGTCCTTTTCACAAAGTATTCCTTGCATATCACTCACTTGAGAGTGAAGAATGCGGGCATCAGGTCAAGCTCTGGAAAGCTGCTTTCTTAGGCCCTTTGCCAAACTAGACACTGCCCATTTCAAGCCCCCTGTTTATCCATACATGCAGAAACCCAAATAAAATTTTCCATGGTGTTAGAATTTTTAGAAAACAGAAATAATGAAATTTTTAAAAATCCTATCTTTGCTCTCTGTGCTCAAGATAAATAATTTATAAGGTAAATATTTTTGTAGCTAGATAATAATAAAACCATTTTATTTTAACAAGTACAGAAAAATAGCAGCAAACCCAAATGATTGCATAAGTCATGAGCCAAAGAAAAATATGGAAGAATATTTCTGTGGGAGAGGAATGGACTAGTGCTTATGTTGTCAAGAGGGCGGGTCTATCTCAGGACACCAGAACATTCCCTTTCCTATGGCCCCATACTTCATAGAGTGTTAGGACATATGGAAAAAATTAGAACAGCATAACAACAGACAGGAAACAAACAAGGACATCTATTCACCTCTCAAGAAAAGATTGCTCCAGGCACTGCCAGGCAATCAAAAGGCTAATCAAGGTGGTCAGTTGAAACATTCACACCTAGCTCCAGCAGACAAGAGTCCTTTGTCTCACCTTGGTCATTCCACAGATATATAAACCCATTTCCCTAGTTCCAATAGACCTCACTACCTGTGAGGATGCTTGCCATAGATGCAGGCGAAACGTCAGGAGAAATGCCTCTAGAACATGGCCATATAGCCCGAAAAAACTTACAGCAACCCAGTGATTCTGGCCATGAAAGCCTTCGACAATACATATGGAAAAAATCTCAGGAGACATACATCTCCTTTCTAAGGAGATGACCAGGATCATATGGAGAATCTCAGGAGTTTTATTTTACCAGAAAACATAGAGTGGCTGAACTTGAGAATTAAATGATTGAACCAATGTATTCTGGAATAATAAGCGTTTACCAAAAGCATGATGTCCCTTCAATTTATGGCAGAAGTCCTCATGAATATAGGCTCTTTTCTGCATACAGTGGGCTTTGGTATCTGCTGAGGTTTGGCTCCAGGACTCCATATGAATAGCGAAATCAGTAGATGCTCAAATTCCATTATATTCAAAGTTGTTGTAAAATAATTCCCTTGTATAAAATCACCAAAACAAGGTTTGCTTTTTAGATTGAAAAAATAATAATTCTAAGCCATTGATGGTTGAATCCATGGATGCAAAATCCATGGAGCTGGCTGTATAATGTTAGACTAAACTCAGTTTAAGAGACCACCTAGAAGTCTGGTAGAAGAGCTAACATATGACATACTTGGGTGAGATTTGTTCCTTTTAGAGATTTCTGGAAGCAATATATAAAGACATCTTTTTGTGGGAGCTTTCTGGGTTTGTTTTGTTTTGTTTTTTATAATGTCATTTGCTTATAAGCAGTGATAACTAGTTGGGTATCAGCTCTCTCTTGTCTCTTTTGACTTTTAGGAATCCTGTGGTCAGAAGCTATCTTTTTAGAAGCCAGGCCCCAAAGGAAGACCAAGAGTGTGGATGCGCTGAAGAAATGTGAGCATGACCCACATGTCCTTCTGGCTGTGGCCAAGTGAGTAATGATCTCGGTTTGCTTTGTCCTTTAGATAATTAAAACGACATCATTAACGTAAAAGTTGGATTGTAAAGAGAGGTTATTGCAGACTGGCTGTATTTCTTGAATTCCTTTTTTTAATGACCAAGCATCTAAAATAATTAAAAATGTATATGATGTAAAGGAGAGCAAATACAGTGAAATCAGATGGCTTAGGATCAACATCAAAACATTTAGTCAGTCTCATTCCCTTGATATATGGAAAGAGAAGTAACTTCACCTCTCAATAAAAATGTTATGAGTAAGAGTAAGTAAGGCCCTGGTTGGCATTTTTTGAAATAGTCATAGAAAGGCCTTTGATGATGAAGGATATGGGAGGTATTGTGATTAAAAGTGTTTGTTTAATAGGTCACAAGCTGTATGAGACCTGTTTGCGTAAAACTAGGCATTATTATTTGGTTCTAGGCAACATTTGACAGCCACTGCATCTGGAGCACAATTATGTAATTAGACATTTTGATTCTCATAATCAGTGTGTCTACTGTATTCTGCCCTAGCAGCATTTTCTAAACAGTCTTCAAGGGCAGCCTCTTATATAGTGCATTCCAGTAATCTAATTTAGATGTAATTACCGCATATACTCGAGTATAAGCTGACCCGAATATAAGCCAAGGCATGTAATTTTACCACAAAAAACCGGGAAAACATATTGATACCAATATAAAATTACATTAATTGAGGTATCAGTAGGTTAAATGTTTTTGAATATTTACATAAAACTGTAATTTAAGATAAGACTTCCCTATTCTGATTAAACCGTTATTCTAACTTTCTTCAATGTAAATGTGCTTACTTATCCTTCCAATAATAATATAATAAACTAATAAATGTGATGATAATAATAATAACAATAATAGAATAAACTAAAATAATGTAATAATAATAGTAAATAGAGTAAAATAATAAATGTAACAACAACATAAAATAATAAATAACTTTGAGTCAAGTATAAGCCGAGGGGGCTTTTTCAGACTAAAAAAGGGCTGAAAAGCTTTGCTTATGCTTGTGTATATACAGTAACTTGCTTGAAAGCACTGGTATAAAAGTCTTGGCATGCATTCTTTTTACAGATCATTGAAACTGCCTGACTGCTCAACTCACTAGTCTTGATAAACTTTTATGATCCACAGACCTTTTAAATGGTGTTCACTGGCATCAAGTTGTTGTGCCCTGCAAAATGTACAGATAGTGTTCCATCTTTCACTTTAACAGCCACAGTTCAAAGCTTTGAAAGCTATTATGTTCATTAGTCCATAAAACTTACCCTGGCACTGCTACATTTGCCAAGACAACCTTCCCATTGAATAACAAATGAAAATTATTGGGTTGTGTCTGAGCAGGTCTATTGCTAGGCAGAAATTGGCTCATCTAAGGCAGCGATGCAGCTGTGCCATTGAGGGATGAGTATGTTACACACTGTGGAGAGCAAGACAAGCTTGAAAGCTCAAAATTGGGCTTGTAGGCTTTGGACTGAGCTCTGCGATTTCCCACCACAGCTGTGGGCACTGGGCAGGAAGCCTTGGTTGGCTGCTTTTCAGATGGACTCCCAGATTTGCCAGCTGTGCTCCGCTGGAAGATGGGATCTCATTTGGTTGCCAAAGTTCAACGCTACTCCTTGTGTGCCAAGTGTGCCTCTTGTGCTGCTCCCATTCATTTTGGGCTCATACAGGAACTGTTCCTATGGATCTCTGCCCGTGGGTGATTAGATAAGTGAACAAAGCCACCCTCCGGAACCTAATCATTGTGCCTGTTTGTCTTAGGTGGCAATTTTGGTTATGTGTTCATGAAATTTCTGTTCCAAGATTGAATTGGCTTCTGCCAGATGAGGCATTGAGCAAGTGCACCAAGAAGAGCCTGTCTTGTGTGAAAACATTTGCTTCTTTCCCTGGATAAGCTTATCTTTGAACAGATGGAACACCTTTTAGCTTCTATGCTTAATCCCTATACAGGGGACAAAATAAGCTGCTGGTGAGTCTCCTTCGAAGTTGTCCTCTTTGTCACTTTTGTTTTACTCAGATTGTTCTGGAGCGAGCGTAAAATAACCAAGGCGCGTGAGTGGTTCCATCGGACTGTGAAGATCGACTCTGACCTGGGGGATGCTTGGGCTTTCTTCTACAAGTTCGAGCTACAACATGGCACAGAGGTAACGTGGGGGATGAGAGATTGTGACTTGAATTGGGCCCATCGAGATTCCTTACTGGTTTGGGAAACTTTGAGGAACTTGGCCAGGTTGCTTTCTATTGGACTGCATAGGTCAACAGCAAGCTAGACTATTAATGATCGGGAGCTCACTCCGACCCAGGCTGGCTTCAAACTCATGACCTCTTGGTCAGTAGTGATTTAATGCAGCTGGCTACTAACTAGCTGCGCCACAGCCCGGTCGCATTATGCCATCTTAAAAGTATAGAATCATAGAGTTGAAAGAGACCACAAGGGCCATCCAGTCCAACTCCATTCTGCAGGAAAACATTAAAACACTCCTGACAGATGGCCACCCAGCCTATGTTTAAAATCCTCCATAGTAGGAGACTCTACTGGACTTCCAGGCAGCATATTCTACTGCTGAACAGCTCTTAATATCAGAAAATCCTGCTTCAATTTTCCTTTCCTCCCTAGAATCCATTTGATATTTTCAACAGAAGGAATCATTTCTCTGCATACATGCTGAAGAACTCTTCTTGAGGGTTGTAGCTTTTCTCCCTTCTCAGGAATTTACTGAAATAACCTTCCACTCAGTCTATTAGCAGTTCTGCCACCTGTGACTGTTACTCCACATGTTCTTTGGTAGACAGATGTAATTGGATTTGGATCTATACACAATAGTCATCTAATGTTTACATATTTTTTTTAATGTTGTTTTAAATTGTTGTTTAACTGTTCTTTAATTGCTGTTGTTGTTTGGGCATGGAATAATGCCACTCATGTAAGCCGCCCTGAGTCCATTTCGGGGTGAGAAGGGTGGGATATAAATGTTGTAAATAAATAAATGCCACAGAACAATATAAAGCAGGGGTCCACAAACCTTTTAAACTGAGGGCCAGGTCACAGTCCCTCAAACTGTTGGAGGGCTGGATTATAATTTGAAAAAAAATGAATGAATTCCTATGCACACTGCACATATTTGTAGTGCAAAAAAACCACTTAAATAAAATACAATAATTAAAATGAAGATCAATTTTAACAAATATAAACTTACTACTATTTCAGTGTGAAGTGTGGGCCTGCTTTTGGGTGATGAGATGGGATTGTTGTTGTTGTTGTTGTTGTTGTTGTATGCTTTCAAGTCATTTCAGACTTAGGTTGACCCTGACAAGGGCCGGGCAAATGACCTTGGAGGGCTGTATCTGGCCCCCGGGCCTTAGTTTGAGGACCCCTGATTCAAAGTATTCCATCAGCCCCAGCACGGCAAATTGGTGCAGCAAGTTGATGGAGAGCATAGAGAACTGTCAGGTGATTGGGAAAAAGGTGGTAAGGTGGTTGTGCCTCCTGGCCCATTAAATGTGCACCCACAAGTGGAGGAAAAGCAAAGTGACGAGTCTTTAAGAGGAGCTTGAAGACGTGGTTGTTCCAGTGTGCCCTCCCAGAATAATGATCCCATAGCACTTTGTCCTCCAAAGTACTTTATACTATTAGGTCTGCTTGTATGTTGTCCATTATTATTATTATTATTATTTAATCTTTTAATTTTAATTACATTTGGCCTACCCATAGATTTTAAAGTGTGTTGTCCTATTGATAATGCTTGTGTTATTGTTTTATTGTTTTGTTGTTTTTAAATTGCTTGTATTGTTATTGTTATTGCTTGTATTGTTGTATTTTGGGCTCGGCCTCATGTAAGCCGCACCGAGTCCCCTTGGGGAGATGGTAAGGTAAAGGTAGTCCCCTGACATTAAGTCCAGTCATGTCTGACTCTGGGGTGTGGTGCTCATCTCCATTTCTAAGCCGAAGAGCCAGCGTTGTCCGTAGACACCTCCAAGGTCATGTGGCCGGCATGACTGCATGGAGCACCGTTACCTTCCCGCCGAGCGGTACCTATTGATCTACTCACATTTGCATGTTTTCGAACTGCTAGGTTGGCAGAAGCTATGGCTGACAGCGGAAGCTCACGCCGCTCCCCGGAATCGAACCTGCGACCTTTCGATCAACAAGCTCAGCAGCTCAGTGCTTTAACCCACTGCGCCACCGGGCAGATGGTAGCGGGATATAAATAAAGATTATTATTATTATTATTATTATTATTATTATTATTGGTAAAAAGCTGGTGCTTCTTTTAGGTCGCTACCCTTAGGGAGCCAGCCCCATAGAACAGAGTAGTTTGATTTTTGAGTAAACATGCATCCATCACCTGGACTCTGTTGTTTTCATTTAGAATATACTCACTAAATGATTTCTTGAATGGTGAATCAAAACAAGGGTCACTTCCATTGATTTAGAGCAGGCATAGGCAAACTTCAGTCCTCCAGGTGTTTTGGACTTCAACTCCCACAATTCCTAACAGCAGGTAGGTTGTTAGGAATTGTGGCAGTTGCAGTCCAAAACACCTGGAATGGCCAAAGTTTGCCAATGCCTGCATTAGTGGCTCTATTCTAGTTGAAATTAATAGTAGGATTTGGGCCATTTTATTATATTTTTATGACTAAAAGGGGATGAAGGTAACTTGTCCTGTCCTGAATTCTCTTCTCTCTTTAGGAGCAGCAAGAAGAGGTGAGGAAGCGTTGTGAAAACGCTGAGCCCCGTCACGGAGAGCTGTGGTGTGAGGTCTCCAAGGACATCAACAACTGGCAGAGCAAGATTGGTGAAATCCTGGTGCTGGTGGCGGCAAAGATCAAGAATACCTTTTAGGCCAGAGGCCGTATGGACTTGTGTCTCAAGCAGGGTGAGGGGACCCAGCTTCTTCCTTCCACACACATGTGGGGACTTTTGTCTCTAGGTGGAAGGCGTTTGGAGGAGAAATCAACAGGGGAAAATAGGATGAGGTTTCCTGGTTTAAAGGGAAGCCCAAGTTTTTACCCTGGCACTTTTTTTTGTAGTGAGCAGGTAGCAGCTGTGAGAAAACCAGCACTTTCGTGGGAGAGTGCTTTGTCTGACCCCACGCCTCAGGGTTGTTAAATAACAGGAGAAACTTCAGAGTGCAGATAGGGAAGGCAGCTTTATTCAGACTCCTGAGCAGCAGCCCTGGTGTTCTTTGTGTCTCAGGGTCTCTGGCAGATGAGCTGTCCCTCTGGGCCTTTCTGCTTCCTAAAGTTCAATTTGTCTTGTTGATGTCCTCAACACAAGTCATTTCCCGTGACCGATAAAGGAGACAGAGCAGTCTATTTTTGTACAGTAGAGATGAAAACCCATTTTCTGGTGGGGCTCAGTGGAGAGCCCTGAGAACTTGGAATTTTGTAAGGGTATGTGTTATTTGGAAGAGGGGTGACTAGGGGTCAGTCTTGTCACAAGATAACATGTTTCAGACTTAGTAGAGAATTAGAACTGTTTTGTCTTAGCCATATAAGCCTGACTGTATGGCGTCCCTACAATTGCAACATTTCATAGGTCAATGGCTACTATCAGGAGCTGCAAATGTTGACCACAATAAACTCAGGACAGGGCAAAACGCCTTAATGAGACAAAGCTTCATCGGTTTTCCATGGAATTGGAAATAAGATACTTTTGTGACAGTTGATTTTGGGAATGAACGTGTCATTCTTGTAGGAGAGGAATGTCACATTACTTAATATAATCGAAAACACACCTTGGAGAGAGATCACTGTATTTGGTGTAAGCCTCCACTAGCAACCAGGCAGACATTTATAAGAAGAGTCTTATGGTTGGAATAATGTAGACAAAATCTCTCGGTTTCAATACAGTCTAAGAGGAACAGCTCTATTGAAGTTGTACTGGAATGAATGGGTGTCACACACCATCAATTGTGTGTCTTCTCTATAGTTACAGTAAATTCTCTAATATTTAGATTCAATTCATAGTATGGCTGTTGCTCACACCCTCCTACCACCAATGTCCCAAAGCATTCCTAGTTTTGGATAAAGCAACCGATTCCCATCCCAGTGGCAGTGCAGTCAAAATATCTTGGTGTATTAGGATATGTCCAGTGTTTCTGCATGGCAACTTGGTTTTTTTTTAGTAGTCTGTGACCATTGTACATAATATGAAACTGTAAAATACAACCTTTTTTGTTCTTTGTGATACTTTATTTTTACTCAGTTCTCTTGTGTTTATATTTCTGGTTTGGGGGTTAGCGTGTCGAGTACTGATGGAACTTTGGGACATTATTACCTGTGTGTTTCATATCTTCAAGTAATTTTAGATTTATGGCGACTCTCAGGTGAACCTATCACAGGGTTTTCTTGGCATGTTTTCCTTGGGGAGGGTTTGCCATTGCCTTCCTCTGAGGCTAAGACAGTGTTACTTGCTCAAAGTGACCAGTGGGTTTCCATGACTTAGCTAGGATCCAGACCTTGGTCTCTTAGAACCCTAGTTCAGTACTTAAGCCACTACAACGCTTTAAATCTGGCATGGACAAACTTGTGGAAGTCCAAAACACCTGGAGGGCTGAAGTTTGTGCATGCCTGCTTGAAATTCAGGGATATTGGGCTGCCTTTTGAGCTGGTAATAGTTCCATCATCTCCATAATGGAAGTTCTAATTTAAAACATCTGGTGGGCAGTAGAGTGGAAAAGGTGATCAGCATCGTGGACAATGCCTGCCCTTCAACACATAATTTTCCTTCAAGCTCTTGGGCACATTGGGTATAATATCTGAAACATTCTAGTGTCAGAAACATGGAATTTTGAATTATCTGCCAAGGTTCATTACATTTACTACAGGAACAGACTCCATCTTTTCTTCTTTGACCACCGTAGTAGTAATATCAAGAAGATTCTCTTGAATTTTCTCCTTATAGGTCAAAACCATTTCACTTTTGGTGAAATTTCACACCTAGCTCCAGCAGATAAGAGTCCTTTGTCCCACCCTGGTCATTCCACAGATATATAAACCCATTTTCCTGGTTCCAACAGACCACACTACCTCTGAGGATGCTTGCCATAGATGCAGGCGAAACGTCAGGAGAGAATGCCTTTAGAACAATGATGGGCAATCTTTTGAGTTTGGTGTGTCAATACTCGCCAAAAAACCGAGCATAACTCGAGTGGGGTGTCACTTCGAGAAAAAAACCATAATTTCATGATATTTATAGTTTAATAACAAAAATTATTATTGTAATATATAACTGTATTTAATAAACCAAAAACTAATTATTTAACTTACCTGCTTTTTCTATAATGCCATATATCTCGGCATTATAGAAAAATGCTGGTGTAGGAACCGAGGATGAAATGTCCTTCTTGGGATGCAGCCCCATTTTCTCTGTATGCGGCCGCATGCGACCGTGTGTCATCGAAAATGGCTACGCGTGTCAGTGCTGACACACGTGTCATAGGTTCGCCATCATGGCTCTAGACCATGGCCATATAGCCCGAAAAAACCTACAACAATCCAGTGATTCCGGCCATGAAAGCCTTCAACAATACATTTCACTTTTATTATCCCTTCACTTTCCTTAATTTTCTTAGTGGTAGGAAAGCACTGTAATTTAAGTAAACCATTTAATGCTTTTTTATGGTGTCAGAAGTGACTTGAGAAACTGCAAGTCGCTTCTGGTGTGAGAGAATTGGCCGTCTGCAGAGACGTTGCCTAGGGGATGCCCAGGAGGGAGGCTTCTCTCATGTCCCTGCATGGGAAGCTAGGGCTGACAGATGGGAGCTCACCCCGTCTCATGGATTTGAACCACCGACCTTCAGGTCAGCAGTTCAGCTGGCGCAAGGGTTTAACCCATTATGCCCCTGCAGCTCCTTTATTTAATACTAAACCGCATAATCGAAGTAGAATCCCAACTTCAGTCAAAAATAGTAATTAACATTGTTTTTGCATAATCCAGGCAAGAAGTATGTGCCAAATCAGGAAGAAATGCTTCTCAATGTTATGGCCATGAACAAATATGCCAAGGTGCAGGGAATGCTCATCGAACTCTCAGGATTGCAAATTTACAGGAGCAAGGAGATGAAATTTTGAGTGTTACCTATAGTTCTTACCCACCTGATGTTTACCTTTTTGAATCCCTGAGAAGAAAGAAAGGGGTCTTCAACGTATTCGAAGGCTTTCATGGCCGGAATCACTGGGTTGTTGTAGGGTTTTTTGGGCTGTATGGCCATGGTCTAGAGGCATTCTCTCCTGACATTTCGCCTGTATCTATGGCAAGCATTCTCAGAGGTGAGGATGCTTACCATAGATGCAGGCGAAACATCAGGAGAGAATGCCTCTAGACCATGGCCATACAGCCCGAAAAAACCTACAACAACCCAAAGGGGCCTTCTTCCATATTGGACTACATGCATGTCTAGTACCATATAATGACAAGTAGCCTAAGCAGGACTACAATGCACAATTGCCTTGCTTGTAGTAGCTGGGAGATTCAGGGGAGTTGTAACAAAAGTACATTAGCCAGGCTTTGCACCTGGGGCTTGTCTTCATGCAAATAGGTGCTCTAGTATAATCATAGAATTGGAAAAGACCTCGTGGGTCATCCAGTCCAACCCCGTTATGCTAAGAAGCAGGAAAATCACACCCAAAGCAGCCCTGACAGGTGGCCACCCAGCCTCTTTTTCAAAGCCTCCAAAGAAGGAGCCTCCACCACATTCCAGGGCAGAGAGTTCCACTACTGAACAGCTCTCACAGTTAGGAAGTTCTTCCTAATGTTCAGGTGAAATCTACTGGGATAGTATTCTCAGGGAAAGCAAATTGTTATTGCATCTTATAAATGATGAGTTTACCATGTTACTCAGGAAGAACAAAACAGCAACAGGAAGTCTACTCTAGCCCCATCCATCCTCTTCCCTGAGAAGGAGAGCTGCAGCGAATTTGCTTTTTCCTCCCCATCAGAAAATTCCTGGCTTTGGTTGCTTGCTCCCCACAGATTTCAGAATTTAGTAGAAACCCACTCTGTCCCTATATTTACAGCCTGTTTTAGGAGAGGAGGAGAAGGGACGTGGTGTTATTACCTGTTGCTTGTAAACTACCTTGGGAGTAATTTGTCTGAGAGATGGAGTCCGTCTTTGAAATAAATCTTTAATTCAAAACAACCCCAGAGCTGAGGCGCTATCACATTTTGATGGCCTGAAAGACAGGCGCTTGCAATAAATTCGCAGCTGGCTTTGTTTAAAGGGTTGTCCCAGTTCATACACATTATCAAGCACTTAATGGGTCTTCTGTTCTGTATTACACATTGCAACTTTTCAAGGATCGGGTTTTATTAATTCGGCATATTCCACAAAGTCCTGCATTGTTTCTTGCATCTTGAACACAAGGGGGAAGCAGTGAACCATCGTCCAGCGCCTTTCCAAGGCATCCTTTCTCCCAGAGATCTGTACATGCAGACTTCTGTGCTCCATTTTGAATTTCGCATATAAAAGCACTATGGAAAAACCCACAAAACCTCATGTCAGATTGTAAAACAGACCACCATCTTCTCGTGACCACTGCTTTAGTGCTGTTGGAATTCCTTTTAGCCAGATCAAACCAGGAGCAAAAGCAGTGCCTTGCTGCATTGACGCAAATAATATTGAATTCTGAGCTGTTCTCCGGAAGTTGTTGGTGATCTTAAATGTGGTGACTTAGCTACTACAAAGGGAGCGTGAGTATGTATGAGTGTGGGAGGAAGTTAGTGGTGTAATCATTAGAAGCCCATCCCTCCACCATGCAGGGACACGCAATCAAAGCACTCCTGAGAGATGGCCACCCAGCTTCTGTTTAAAAGCCTGCAAAGAAGGAAAGCCTGCCAATCCTAAGGCAGTGTATTTCGTTGTTTAATAGTGTGTCTCTCTGTCTATCTCTCTTTCTCTCCCCTTGTGTTTAGGTGGACATTCTTTTCCTGTAATTTGAATCCATGGATTTGGAAATTATCTGTCATATTCATACAATTATGTATTACTATAATTATAGACAGTCATAATGCCACGATGCCAGAGTTATGCCATTTTTTAGGTAGAGATGAACCAAACAGTTTAATTGTTTGTCGTGTCAGGTCAACCAGTCAATTATATTACATGTCTAACAGAACAAAGCAAACAAACAGACAAAATACAAAATTTGTGAGTTTGGTAGTTGAGTAAATGTCCTTTGACCAGTATCTGGCCACTTGGAGTGCTTCTGGTGTTGCTGCAAGAAGGTCCTCCATTGTGCATGTGGCAGGGCTCAGGTTGCATTGCAGCAGGTGGTTAGTGGTTTGCTCCTCTCCACACTCGCATGTCGAGGATTCCACCCTGTAGCCCCATTTCTGAAGGTTGGCTCTGCACCTTGTGGTGCCAAAACGCAGTCTGTTCAGCGCCTTCCAAGTCGCCCAGTCCTCTGTGTGCCCAGGGGGGAGCAGTTTAATTAAAACAGCACTTACTTTCTGGCTGTTTTAATAGTCCAAAATATAAAACATAAAGATTGCACTCAGCCACAGAATATAAAACAAAAACAGCAAACACTTCAAGATATTTCCGTAGTCAAAAGGTCCAGTCCAGTGGTCACTCCAGTGGTCAAACACTGAGAGTTCAATAAACAAAGTCCAGTGATCAAGAGTCCATGCCGTAATCAAAATACAGTCCAAAGATTAAATGTCCCAGGATTACAAAGGTTCAGGAGACCGGTCAGGACACAAAAAATCCACAAACCTGTGGTAAAACCAGTAGCATCTACTACCAAAATAAGACAAATGGTTTTCTTCCAAAGATCAGTCCCAAGGTTAGCTCATTATATCCAAAAACACCCAGCTGCAACTTATCTCTTGCATACCTCCACCCTTAATTGCTTTCACCCATGAACTCTTACTTAGAGATTACTCAACCCTTTAGAGCTAAGACTTACATTAACCCTTCCATCACCAACTGCTAGGCCTACCACCAACAACCACCAACAACTGCAGAACATGACATAACAGTTTGAATGTTGGATATGACTTGGGACCAGAGATCGATTCCTGCACAGGTATTAAATCCACTGGGTCATCTTGGGCATGTCATACTCTCAGCTACAGAGGAGGACAAAGGCAAATTCTGGCTACACAAATCTTGCCATAGAATCATTGAGTTGGAAGAGACCTCGTGGGCCATCCAGTCCAACCCTATTCTGCCAAGAAGCAGGAAAAT